TTAGATAGGTAAGCAGATAGCAAAATTATAGGGTATTAGTTGTAGATACTATACAAAGGATATATAATTTGTTAATTATATTTTTATAACTTACTTCACGTTTATAATTTTATTACGATTGGGTGGATCCATTCCTATTACTGATGCAGTTAAAGTTGATCTATGTTTTGGTGATGTGTCATTTCAGAAAGATCTGTAGCCTTATTTGTAGTAGATAACAAGCCTGATTGAGCACTCAGTGTCGATGACGATGAACATGTAGATATATTTTCTGGTTTTTGTTGCGGCAAGTGCAATGACTGTGTAAGAACATCATTTAGAGAAATATTTTCCTTATTAGAACTGTCTGATCTATAAAAATTAAATAAAAAGGTAAAGAGGTACTAGGTAACTGTAAAGGCTTTTTACTTGTATATTTTAATCAATATAAAAGTTATTTTACCTGCTATAAGTAGAAGCTATTATTGGAATAGCTGTCTCTCGCAAGTACTTTATACATGATGACTTTGTCAGAAAATCATTAATCGCAAAATGATCAGAACAAACAAATATGTTGTCGGTAATATTGACATCACCTAGGGAGAGCTTCCACAAGTTTCTCCGTTCCAGATTCTTAGGAAATCTAAAAATACAGGTATTACTCATAATATACTTATAATATTACAGAAACAGGAAAAAATAAGTTGAACAATTAAAAAATATATCTTTTTAATAATTTAGATTATGATTTAGTCAGTATTTTATCACTGCTAATTAAGTACTAAATGTAAAACACCCTTATGTAATTCCTCAAACGCCGCCCATGTTGCTTGTTTACTTACCTGTCAAAAGACCGCTGCTCGCCCTTTTTAAATAAAACTTTACAAATAACACACTTTCTAACCATATCTTAGCACTAAATAAATGTTCATATATAAAAACTACACAACAATAAGAGGAAAATGCTACACTAAACACAAATAAACTCAAATACGTTAATAGCGGCTACACACTTTTCCTTTGACAGATGTCATCGACAATCATCGAAATGCGGACGTAGGCGGGAATATTAATTCGACCTAAAACTCCAGGTCTGTCATGAAACAGATCTAGTAATCCTACTGATAACATATGCGAAAAAAATTATAGGTAACTGTCGTTCTATGGCCATAGTGACATGTATTATAAATTACAATGTGGTAATGCTGTAGGTACACACACAATAAGAAGCTAGAAAGGAACACAGCGAAAAGAAACCAAGAAAAAGAACTAAACAAAAAATATAACTACCAGACAGCAAAGCAACAAAATAATTAAGACATATAGGGTGTCCCAGAAAACAGTAGTCATACAGCAACGACAGACAGATTTAAGTCAACTTAGTCCAAAAATCGTTTCAAAATTACAAACCATTCTAGTCTTAGTTGTGAAATTGTTAACCAATAATATCTTCAGATGTACGATATCTGATTGAAATTTGATGATACACATTATAAAGGATAGGAAAGCAATCAAAATTCAATCATTTCATTATCTGCGTCAATAGTGTACGGAGGATATGTAACCCTCTCTTTTTGAAAATATCTGCCCCGTCTATGGAACTTTCAAGGAAAACGGCTACTTTTCGGAATGATCTATTGATTTTGTACAAAAAACGTCTCTTGTTCATTTCTTTTAAAATTTGTATATTTCGAATAAAAAAGAAAATTCTATTTACTGATCCGAAAAAATAGAAATGTATCTGAAAAAAGAAAAAATTTAGCAGTTATGTTTGTATAAACATTTTTTTGACAAGATAAATCAATTGTATAGGTAAGCTTGAAAGAATTCGAAAATTTTTTGAAATATTTCCAGTTTCTTCTTCTGAAAGTACTAAGATATTTGATTGTTCTGGTGGCGTTTAATATTGTTTAATAACTTACATATTACAACTTCGTTTAATGTGATTCTTACAATTAAAAATTTCTCATAGTGATCACTGGTACAAAACGCAATATTTTAATAAGACGATTCCCCACTAATTTATCTAATTAAAAACATATAATTTTATAAAATATGCTTAAATAACAACTATAAAAATTTGTATCTTGCGAAATCCGTCAGATGAAGTTTATACTTTCCATAAACATGATAGTACATTTAGATACCTTATAAATGTTTTATTTACACCTGAACTAAGTTTACATATTATCAATTCCATTTCGCCATTTTGTGAATTTGTGGTAGCCAGCACACACAAGAAGGGCTCACGTATGGTAGTCGCCGAGCTTGATTGACAGAACAAGAGAGCTGCTATCGACGAATAAGAAGAAATAACTGCAGCCAGCCTCGAGCTGGAGTGGTGTGGGTTTATAAATGGGCAGCTATGTAAGGACCCCTGGGTCCACGGAGCTATTAAGATGCCAACCCAAACCCATGCCGGTGAACATCCCTGTGTCCCATTTTTTTTACAGGAATATTAATTCTAGACGGTATTCCGTAAGCCTAGTCCAAATCTACAATGCTCAAATACAGGGTGATTCCTAAGTTGACTCGTAGGTACTTTGATAAAGTGTAAAACAAACACATTTTTCAAATACTTTTCGAACGACTAGAAAAAAAAATTACCATACTAATTTCGAAAACAACATTAATTCCAATTCTGACTCGAATTTAAAGAAAATGTTCAAAATGGCCTCCACTCTGATCCACTCAAAGTCGAGCGCGACATACCCGTAAGAGGAAAACGGGTTTTCTCTTAATTGTATCAGCGGCCTTTTCGATGCGGGCAATAAGTTCTTCCCTTGTGTTGATTGACGTTTTAAAAAATAAGTTTTTCATCAATTCCATAAAAATAAATCACAAGGGTTAAGATCTGTTGATCTGACTGGTCTTCCACGACATACCCACTTATTATGGAAAGTAAATCTAAAATCTCTCACACTTCATACCTTTCGCCCATTAAACAACCTGGTAAGATAAATGGCCCAAGAAGAATACCTACCGTTGACAATACACAATATACACAATATGTATATTGAAAATCTATCTTGAAAATTTGTTTGCCTATAGGCATGGAGATTATCAACTGACCAAACATAAGTCTCGCAAAAGTTGTTATTTCGAGTAAATGCAGCCTCGATCATAACGAAAATGTTTCTGGTAAAGTTTTGATTCGTCCAATGTTGCTGTATAAGAGCCACTCACAAAACTGAACTGGTAGTTTTGTCGCTATAAGACTTGAATTCCATCACTGATTTTCTCTCAATATTCAATCCAAAATGACAGTCAACATATGAGATAAAATTGATACGAACGTACAAGAAAAAACTTTCGACTGAATATGGCGTGTGTTTATCGATCGACGAGTATGTCCACACCTATTGTTTACAAACAAATGTTTTTATTTAAATCTTTTTCCATCCTTAATGGAAAACAAAAAGCGCAGATGAATTTGTAAAAATATTTTTACACAAAATGTTTGTAGCCACACAGTTTTTATCTATACGTGCTTTTCTGTTTGCAGGCAAAATTATGTCTGGTCTGGACTAGCCTTTACTGTTGTGTTGTGTGTGTAAGTGCTATGAAAAACATCGTTAATCAAACTTTCTGTTACTTATTTGATATTCAATTTTTTTCTAGCTATGACGCCATGTTGAAGTCAGATTTTTGTTTTTGTTCGTAGGTACATGTTAATGCAAGGAAAAACTTATCGTATCTATTCGAATATAACGTTACACGATTAGTATTCTCATATTTGAGCTTCAACAACGCTATGGGTTTATTGAGTTGGTGCCTAGTACATCTATTTTGAATTAGTTATTCCATACCACCTGTCTCACGGTGTGTGTTCCTCAAAAGTAATAGACCTCTAAAGACGCCCCTACTTGCATTCAACTTGGCGATTTAAGAGTATGGGAACGGCGTGAGGGGGCCATAAACATGCCGATACGTCCACCGCCTTACAGGGCCGTTGTTCCGGCGAAATGAGGCAATTTGTATGTGCGAATCTGGTCAGACGGTACGGATCTGATTGATGGGTGATGGAAACACGTTTGTCTGTCTGCCTTACACGAGCCCTGGCGGCTCTCATACATCGATCATTTGTTGCGATCGTATTAACTATTACCTTGAGGATCTATATTTATGCGTAATCTTCGTCTGAGTTAGACATTCACAAAAGCAATTTTAATTTGATTTTTATACTACATTGTAAACACTTCAAATATTAAATGTATTGAGCTCGGTTTTCGAATTCTATGAAAAATAATCACTCACTACACAAACACAACAACATTTAAACAGTTAGGAACCATCACTTTACAAGACGCCGCAGCTTACGCCATCTAGATCTAGAACCTATTAACCATATCAAAAACTTCACCTGTTTGGCTGATGATGTCGCTGCCTACCTTGAAATTAAAATCTAAAATCAAATTTGACAACTGACAGTCGTATATGACACTGACAGCTGTCATTGTAATTATATGATTATATGTTTAGTTTTATCTGTAGTTGCTTATCTTTAACAAAATAGACAAAGTGTTTACAAAGCAGTAAATTCGTTTAGAGAAATGCATTTAAAATGGCGTATTAACGCCCCAATCTGTAAAAATTTCTCTAGTTGACATGTCCTGGATCTTAAATACTTGTTTATAAATTAAAAATGTTCGTGAAACCTCAAGAAGTTCTTATTGCTAATGCATTCTGGTAAAGCTTATTTCCACAGTCATTGCTCTATACTAAATATTTACCTTTAGGGAAACCGAAGAGACTTCTCTGTATTTTGTATTGCAACACCGCAAAGGCCATGGCAATGCCAAGGGTTTATCCTCACTTCTTGTGGGCACTATGGATAGTATTTTTGATACAAAACCGGCACCCTACAGGATATTACATCAAACTCCTTCATCAGAAGTTTATTATTGTAAGTTCGTTGATTAACATTTTAAGAGCTTTTAACATTTTTTTTTGCAGTGATAGCTTGTTCTATGACTAGGCAAGAAATTTTGAAAGATTGGGAGTGGCTCTTCAGTAATGTAAGCGAAACTTTACAATCATTTGACAGTGAGGACGATATAACGGATTTTGTTACTTGTAAAATTGAATCTGTAATTGCTACAAGGCATGAAGTAGAAGTTGAAGGTATGTTTTCATTGAATCATTCATTATTTGTATCTTTAAATGGTTTGGTTTTATTTTAATAATACATTTTTTTATATTTATTACCATTATCAGTCAATATTGTATATTGTGAATTAATATAAACTAAATTGCAATGGTTTATTAATTGTTTAAAAAGGATTCCCTTTCGGTTAGATGGTGTTCATTATCAATTTAATTACTAATTGTAATGGCCACAAATATGCACACAGATTATTAGCAGTTAGTGTATTTGAAATAAATTCTAAATACCTATATTCAAAGTGGTATTACACTTCTAGATATTTGTAAATAATTAATGGTTATTTATTTAACATTTCTTAGATAGAAACAGTTTAATTGAAAGTATTACTTGAGCAAGCAATATGAGACCTTTATTACATCAGTAGATGACAAATATCTTCTTTTTTGTAGATGAAGATACAAAGTCCTTCAAAGTTACATCTGACAAATTTATTCGTTTATTTGGACTGCCCAAGGATGAAAAACTTGTCAACTATTACTCTTGTAGGTAAGTGAAAGCTGTCTATATCACGTTTTCATATTTCATAATATCTTCATGTATAATAAATGCTAATTAGTTTTACGAAAGCTGATAAAGATATATGATAATGAGTGATACGTATATGTCTGTATATTTGCACAAATAATGAACTTGATGGCCTTTTAGATAACTGAATGTTTATTTAATATTTTAGAGCTTGTATTGTAATACAGACATGTAGTGTTTAGTTAAAAATGTATATCAAACAACAGTCTTTATCTACAATAGATTTTGATTCAATAGTGAATAATTAAATATAAAAATGTATAAATATATTTGTTTCATGTTTTAGTTATCTGTTGAACGGAATAATGGAACTCAATATTCATTTCAATTATGAAGTGAACATCTAATTTCCCATTACTTTTTCTTAAAGTTATATAAAATTTATATTTTCTTTCTAATTTTAAGTTATTGGAAAGGTAAAATTCCCAGGCAAGGATGGATGTACCTTTCGATAAATTACTGCTGTTTCCATGCTTTTATCCTCGGGTTAGACACAAAAGTGTGCATAAGATGGTCGGAGGTTACTCAACTGAGCAAGAAAAACAGCATAGTTTTTCCTGACTCCATTCAAATTTGTACTAGGGAGAAGGAATACAATTTCAGCATGTTTTTGAGCAAAAATGAGACGTTTGCCCTTATGGAGCAACTTGTAGATTTAGCTGTAAAAAGGTAATGTTGAAAAAATAATCTGATGAAAAATTTAATTGTTATTTCAATTTAGACTAATAGACGACAAAAGAAGTTTTACAGAAGATAAAGAACTACTAAGTAAACTGAGGTAACCACTCAAATTTGTTGTGTTAAAAAAAAGTTAATTTTTTTCATGTTTAGTAAAAATGTTCCAAGGAAAGCTTCGTTTCTAAAGAGAGATCTGGATGCAAGGGCACAATCAGAAGCTTACAGGTTATTGTTCAGGTTGCCTTCATCGGAAAAACTTGACGGATCGATTGACTGCACTTTGCTGACCCCTTACAACAAAAAACATGTTACCGGAAGGCTGTTTTTGTCTCAGAATTATATTTGTTTCGAGAGCAGAGTAAGTATTTTTTCAAGGATACCGTACACTGTTATGTAGAATCTCAACAATTATTTTAAGGTCAAAGCCCAAGTCAGTCTGGTGGTACCCCTTAGAGATGTTACGGTGACAGAGAAAATTGAGAATAATGCTTCAAACCAGGCGCTGGATAAAGCGATAATTGTTTCTACTGGCAACGATTTGAACAAGACGAATTTTATATTTGCTCAAATTTTGGATAGGGATTTTCTGGTAGAAAAGATTTCGGAACTTCTGTCAAAAACCCAGGAGCCTAAGTCGTAAGATATTCAAATTTATTTACTACAAATATTTTTCATTTTACAATGCTTTAATGTTCTATAATAGTGGAGAAAAAAGTTCAGGGTCAAAATTAGTTGATGTAGATGGTTCATGAATTTTCATTGAAACTTATTTTGGCCACTGCTTATTAATCATCTGTAAAAATTGTTTTATATTTTGGTACACTGAGGTTCAACACTCTTGAAACACCCTGTATACGATTTTGTAGATCTGATACCATGAGTACCAAAAGCAACAGCAGCAGTGAAAACTCTTCAGGCGATATATCCTTTTCTCTTATCGACAACAACTGGAAATGTCAACAGGCTCTGATGAAGGTGTTTCCCCTAAGTCCCATTCCTGAGGTGAATAAAAAACAACAGAAAAAGGCCAGAGAGTGGGAGGAACACTTCAACGTTTATGGTAGGGGAGTATCTATGTACAGAACCACGGAAGTTGCTACGTTGGTATTGCAGGGAGTACCAGACCACCTCCGGATGGACATCTGGATGTCATTCTCAGGTAAATCCTCCTCAAAAATATTCACTAGCCCTCAGAATGTACACTGATTCTGTTTTGTTGAAATTTGGAAAACAGTCAAAATTTGATTTTCTTGTTTTCGAACGTGCGAATTCAGTTTTCAGAGCGGCCGAGTAGTGTTACCCCCACCCCGCCCCTGCTTCGGTTTGACGCACAATTAAAAATGCATAAGTGGCTAAAATGAACTACAGTATTTTTTTATTAAAAATATAAGTCTTCATCTTCAATCTCTGTATGAATAGACGCTGTAGACTTAACTAACGGCCTGTGAAATTTTTTGAAAAAAAAAAATTATCTGCTCCAGAAGGTCCTACAGCAACGTTTTTTTTTTAAATTCGTGTAGAAATGCCAGCAAACGATTCCTGTAATAGACATTATCGAGAAATGAATATCGAAAAAGATATTCAAGAAATGTGCGACCAAAAAATTTGTACTTTTTTCAGTCATCTTTGGGCAGTTGAGATGAATAAAATCATTATCACTCTTTTTTACCATGAAAGTACAACTTATAAGGAAAAAAATTAGCCTTGATTCGTTTTTCTACGACTATTCGTCGAGCAACAAGAGCCAATTTTCGAGATGACCTTTTTTCGAAAATCGATATAACTCAAAAAATTTTTAATATTTTCTAATTTAAAACAAGGTACTTTTTTGCTTGCCGAGGGCTACATTTACAGCAAGTAACAAGTTTCAAAACCTCAATTTGCAAGAGATACAGAAAAAACAAAAAAAGTCGATTTTTGACCGTTTTTTCGATATATCTCGAAAAGTAATATAGCAATCGATATATTTAAAAATAAAAATCTATAGGTTTTTCTAATAGCTACAACTTTCTCATTTAACTTTTTTCGATTGGAGTACAAGTTTTTTTTTATCAGCGCAAAAACCGTTGTTTGACTTTTATGAATTTTTTAGGTTAACTTCGCCGTTCATGCACCACAGGAAAAATACACTATCTTAGAATTTTATTTCCTATATCACCATATTTTTTGTTTCCAGGTGGTATTTTTTGTAAATTTCACATAAGGTCGTGACAGATTCATTGGACTATTTGAAGAGTGAATAAATTGACATATAAAAATTTAATTGGTAGAATTATGTTTTGCAAATATGTAGTATTTTTTTAATTGCTACTGACTTATCGCATTGATACAGTGAAAACATGTTTGGAACCACTGACTCCACCGATTCTTTTGCCCCTATTTACAAATGTTGGTGCATACATATTCGGAAATCGCTGTACATAAAGTTGTGCAGCTAACTCACAGTTTTCATCAGCCATTCTGGATGCTATATGATGTCAATTAATTCATTGTTATGTTTATCTGCATTTATTAATATACACACTACAGGTACTGTCCTTTCAAAGAAAAAAAAATACAGTTAAAATTGAGAATCTAGGAAAACTTCCCTTAAACATTTGTTCACTAATAATTTCCATAATAAATGAAAACTAAAGTAGAACTGATGACTACTTAAAATTGAACCAGCAATTTTTCTTTTGATGACGAAAGACAATACAAAAAGTAGAGGACTATATGCCTCTTTTTATGTAGTATGTAAGTTAGGGACGATTCCAGAGGCTCTCAATATTTTTTTACAATCCTATAAATACCATAAATTAATTTGAAAAATATTGTTTTTTTTTATCTTGCAATTATGTGTGCACATTAATGAACATTATTAATACATATCTGATGCCTAGGATTATGACATGATTGAAAACGTTGATTTTAGATTGAAGATAAAAGATTATTTATTATCTATTTTTATATTGTATCCATTAAAGAGAATTACATGAGTTATTCCAATGTTACTTCAGAATAATCCGAGTCATTGTCTCATAATCTCTTCCGTTCTACTGAAATATTTTTCCTAACTATTCAATTCTGTTTTATCTATAATCTGTCATAATCCCATATATTTTGTCGATATTCTGATTTATTTCGGTTATTCCGTCATAGTCTGGGTTATACTGATGTATTCCCACCCCATTCCGATTAAAAGTTATACTTATTCCAGCCAGCGGCTCCCCTCAATCACACCTTTACTCCATTTAATTGTTTATAAAATTTTAAATTTAGGTGCCGCTAACGAGAAAGCCTGCCACCCCGGCTACTACCGCGCCTTAGTTGGTAAGGCTCTCCTTCAGCACTCTACGGCTAACGATGAAATTGAACGTGATCTTCACCGTTCCTTGCCAGAACACCCCGCTTTCCAGAATCCCATAGGAATCGATGCGCTTCGTAGGGTGCTTTGCGCTTATGCGCTACATAATCCAAGCATTGGGTACTGCCAGGCTATGAATATCGTAGGTAAGTAAGGAAATGATTATGTGAAGAGTAGAAAAATATAAATTTAATATCTTAGCATCCGTTCTGCTGATATACTGCAACGAAGAGGAAGCTTTCTGGTTGTTAGCTACTCTCTGCGAGAACCTTTTGCCTGATTATTACAATACCAGAGTGGTAGGAGCTGTCGTGGACCAAGGCATTCTAGATGAATTAACCTTGGAGCATTTGCCCAGTCTGCACGATAAACTTAACCAGCTAGGTGAGTTCCATGGAATAATTGTGTGAAAAAGGGATGATATGTTAGAATGTTTATATTTTTTGCAGGTATGACAAATATGATCTCCCTCTCTTGGTTCCTGACCATATTCCTTTGTGTGATGCCTTACGAAAGTGCCGTGAACGTCATGGATTGCTTTTTTTATGACGGCGCCAAAGTAATATTCCAAGTAGCTTTAATGTTGTTGGAGTGGAACCAGGAAAAACTGCTGCAGTGTAGAGACGAAGGTAAGAAAACTTTTCATAATGTTTTAATATTACAAATTTGATATAGCAGTATTTTTAGTGCAGTTTTAATTTATCCAAAGTATTATAAATTGTATTTCAGTCAACAAACTCAGGTTTTTATAATTTTTGAAAATTAAAATTTAATAATTATACAGGCAGTCCCATTTAAGATGGATTCTTCCATGGGCTCTGGTAATATCAATAATATGAGGCATATCCACAGAGTACTCAATTTTTTAAAAATCGAAACGACAGTGTATGAAAAATTTACATATTCAGAAAGGTACATCAAACACTATTTTTTAACATAGTCGCCATCAACTTCAATGTACATTGTGTGCCGAGGGATGAGCTTTTTGATATCTTCATCAAAAAAATCTCTCACCCCTTGACGGGCAAATTGTTTCCCTTTCTTTTGTTCTGTATCGCCCTCCATAGTGTTAGCAGCAGCAGCATTAGGGTAAAAAATCAATGAGGAGAATCCTGTTACGGTCCCAAATTGCCATGGTTTTTCGCCCCAAAACAACTGTTTTGAATGTTTTCACTGATGGTGAAGGCGGATGTTAGAGATGTTTTAAAATCTTATGAGCTTTGACCTTCATATGCGCAGAAACATAATTCCGACCGTCGCCTAAATTATTCTACGTCCTAAAAACATTACACCTATTATTCACAGTCTCGCTCGAGCTCTAGCGTAAACAAGCCTTTGATCCGATTACAAATATCATAATAAAATGCCCTATTTATTATTTTAATTTAAACAATAAAAATATATATAACGAACGTTCGCCAGTTGACTTTATTGATGCCCGAGCGCCCTAGTTCATTTCTAGTTGTAATGAGGCACGTGTTCTAATTCTGAGTCAATGTTTTCACAACGTGCTTATTAGAAGAATTATGGGGATACGCCACGCCTTTCGCGCATTTCGCGGCTCATGAGATATTAAAAGATCTCTACCACTGCATTGATTTCACCTTCTAGTTAAAAGCGCTTGAGAAATTCCTGTGAAGATACTGTTTTGGTATCCACCTCGTACACAATTTTCGATAACCAAGTGTTTCAATAATAATTTCATGCGGAAGAGATCTGAAGATTTGTAGAAAAACTCTTCATCTCGTCCAAACTCGATCGTCCTTCGCCACGAAGCATTTCTTTGATTTTGTTCATCATGAACATTCGTTCTGTCAGCTTTATACACCATCCCCACAAGCATTTTTGATGTTGTTAAAAATTTGTATCGGCGCCTTTTCCTTTGCAAGAAGAAACTGCATTGTGTTCCTCACCTGGCAGCTTACCAGATTTGGAATGGCGGCACTCATTTCAACACACCACTGCAACAACAGTTCTCAACTATCTGAGACAAATGACTGCATGTTCTACTCCCAATACCTTGACTTTGAATGTAGTGTTGCCAACTTTGTCAAAAACAAAACTACAGAGCATCAGAGTCTTAGTACCCTTACTTTGTTCACATTTTAAAATTATTTTCAACTATACAGGGTGGCACAAAAGTATGGAAAGCCCTGAATAACTCGTCAGGAGTGCATTTTCTTGAAAAATTTTTCCTGGCTATTCAATGACGCCTTTGTATTCGATCTTGACCTTGACCTTCGAGGTCATTTCAAGGTCAAAATTGTTTTTTCAAATGGGAACTCCTATTTTTTATTGCTGATTTGGAAAGAGCAGAAAATTTTACGTTCAAGTATGTCCTTGACCATATCTTTGACCACGACCTTCAAGGTCACTCTAAGCCCAAAGTTGTTTTTTAAACAGGAACCGCTATCTTTTATTACGGACTTGGAAAGTGTATGAAACTTTACGTTCAAATTATGACCTCGACCATGTCCTTAACTACGACCTTGACCATGGTCTCCAAGGTGTTTCCAAGGTCAAGGTTGTTTTTTCAATAGGAACCGCTAGTTTTTATCGACTACGACCTTGACAATGACCCCCGAAGTCATGTCAAAGTAAAGGTCATTTATTTACATAAACTTTTTTTGTTAAGCTTTTTTGTAATCCAAGAAGGCGGACAATTTGAATGTAATGTTTCATGCACTTTCCAAATCTGCAATAAAAGTAGCGGTTCCTGTTGACAAAACAACTTTGACCTTGGAGTGACCTTGAAGGTCGTGGTCAAGAATATGGTCAAGGTCATACTTGAACGTAAAATTTCCTGCTCTTTCCAAATCCCATTTGAAAAATCAATTTTAACCTTGAAATTACCTTGAAGATCAAGGTCGAATACAAGGGCACCATTGAATAGCCATGGAAAAATCCTAAAACATTTGTATTTATCATTTTTCAAGAAAATACACTCCTGACGAGTTATTCAGGGGTTTACATACTTTTGTGCCACCCTATATGTACAGTAGGTCCCATTTCTTCTGGGCTTTCCCTGACTACATTTTTTTAACACGTTCACTGCGGTACATACCTCCGGGGGTATGTACTCATTATAAAAAATATGCGAATCTCAATAATCACATTTTTACTGTATCTGGAAGTTGCAGAATCTGTAGTTTTTAGAAATAATGATTTTTCCATTATTTTCTTTTCAAAACTCTTTTCGAATGAAAATGTTAGTATCCAAGGATATATAGTTGCAGATACATGCAAGTTTATAGCAATAATTGTGTTATTTTTTATTTTATAGTGTCAAATGTAAAAAAATTACATATCCCCAGGGATATGTACCGCACACAGAAGAAGTTTTGTTACATATCCCCGAAGATATGTATCGCAGTCAAGGACAAAGTACATTAAGATTATCTCGCAGTGAACGTGTTAAATGAAGCACCCTGTATATTATTAAATGTGTATACCAACCTGGATTTATCTTGAATCTGGAAATATAGAATTTCTCCAAACTTCATGGAATATTTTTTCCAATTACAAAGGATTCTTTTAAAATATAATCTACTTTTAAACTATAAATTTTAAGGAGAAGCCATGCAGCTCCTTGCAGATTATTTGATGGGTGTATTCAATGACGAGGGAAGAGGTGCAATTAGAAACAAGAGCTACGATGACCAGAAAAGGGTACCAGAAGCGCTGCAACTGTTTCATTTTGAATTAATTATCGTAATAATTTCAGAGCACTTCCATTCAGGTTCTGATCTACGAAGCATATAGGAAATACGGATTTCTGACCACCGGCCAGATAGAAAGGCTGCGTCTGAAGCACCGCCTCAAAGTAGTGCAAGAATTGGAAGATACTTGCGAGCGAAATGTGTTAAGATGCGTCGCAAGTGACGGATTCTTCACTCAACAAGAATTACTGGTCCGTCGTGGTGAGTTATAAACAATTAGACATGAATAGAATGTTTGTGTTGCAGGATCTTTTAAGTTTAGTCAGAGAAGAGATTATAAGACAGAAAAAGTGCATTCCAGACAAGCATGATCCTTCATTACAACCATACGAGGCGTATAAGGTGGATTTTGACTATTTTAAAATTTTATTTGCTGCTCTGTCGCCTTGGGGTAAGGGAGAGATGGCTGAATCACTAGCTGCTAGAATATTCACGGTATTTGTCTTTACTATTCATTATAACCTTTATTGTTCGACAATTTGATTATAGTTTCTTTATATTTTAGCTAATGGACCAAAACAGAGATGGTTACCTCAACTTCAGGGAACTGGTGATGGCTCTCGGGCTTACCAGCACAGCGGAAGCTGCACAAAGGCTTAAATTGCTCTATGTCATCCACCTTCCGCCTATCCTGGTGATGTCTGATATAGAATCTCCCGCAAAAAGTGAATGTGGCACAGAGATCGCTGCCGAAGCTACCGATTTCTTTCAGAACGTGGAGCAGAGCATCAACCTTGATTCGTTGAGCCTCAATGAAGAAGCTGCCTCACCCACGACTCCTTACCAGTGGCAGTAAGTGTTTTAATAGTTGATAAATTATTACCAATAGACATTGTTTTTTTCTATTAACGATATTTCGTTACTATTTTCAAATGTTTTAATAATAACAAGATCTGTAAAGTATTCACGGATTACTGAAAAAAATTAGATTGTTGTAAATTATTATTATTTTTATTATAAAAATTGTCTAAAGGAACATAATACCAGACATCTCTCAACACGTGAAAGAAGTTTCTACGATGAATAGAAGCCGAGATATTGCAAAATTTTACAGCGCGCATCAATTTGAACTTTGGATTTCACTTTTCTCGCGCGCGCGACTCGCTTGGCCGAGTTTCCTCCACCACCACGCCGGACATTTTACTTAGCAAGTACCTTCTCTTTAAAGGGCTCGTGAGTTGTTAATTTTCCACATTTTTCAATGCAATTCACGGGAAATCGTAGTTTACGTCGTAAACTTTATTTTGCGAAAAATTCAAGTCTTAATGTTTATAAACAATTGCGCTACGATTTAAAAAAAAAATTCTTATCTTGGCTCCTGTTGGTCATAGAGGGTGCTTTTTTTTTAAATTTGTATATTTTGTCAGCTATCCATTGAATCTATTTTCGGTGAGGCAGCATAAATAGCAACAATTTTATTCAAATTTTTTATAAGCGAAAAAGGCACGGTTTTTTAATGCACAATTTGAGAATGTTAATGTCAAAAAAACGGTGAGATTTTTTAATAGATCGCTTAATTACATCTTTAAGATTACAATGACGCTTTCAGAATCATATTTGATTGAAAATTAACGCCTGTACAGAGGCTTGAAGTTCATAAGTTTTGGAGCCTCCGTTATAAACAAATTGAATTGTTCGAAAACTATTGCACCTACAGCGTCCACTTTTGGCACACTTTTAAAGTATGACAAAACCCTCAACTTGTCATAGGTTTTATAAAATTTTAACAATAAATGCGATAGTTATAAACAAATTAAAAAATGGGTTCTGGTTTTTTTGCAATAACTTTTTTGTTTATTAACCGATTTTAATTTAACAAGTCTCATTTTGTAGACAATTTTATTCCGTACAAGCTGTCTGTGAGTCACTTTTCGCTAAAATTGATGGTTTTCCCAGCAAAATGAAAAAACTGTTTTCCTCACTTATTTGTTTAAATAGAAAAGTTAGCTAATAATTTTTTTTTACTCACGAGATGAGAGATGTCTTGTATTATGTTCCTTTAGACAATTTTACAATTATATCGCGGATAGGAATTTTTTCAAGTTTCTCTTTTTTTTCGCTAATTTTGCTGGTCTATAATGAAAAGAATCAAACCAGAATTTTTACTGCTTCTTAATCTGATAAAACAATTTTGTGTATTCTCGTATAAAAATTGTAATGTGCCATTCATTTCACATAGTGTTCCAATATATTCAGCAAATGCACTAACAAATAGCTATTTCTACCATTGCTTATTTTATATAAAAAGAGATACAACTAAGGCTGCATGGTTTAACTTCTTGAAATTGAGGTAAGGAGGGACTACCTCAATTTTCAGCTGCGACATGTCACTGCATGTCATAAGTGTACAAGTAGGAAAGATATTTTATTACTTTCATATTTTAGTTATTGCAATTCTGTTGTTAAAAATTGAATTATGTGTGGGTGTTAACGACCAATCTGATAATCGGGCTAGTCATAAACAATTGAATTTAACAGATTAAGGAGAAGTGTCTGTCAGAAGTGTTTACAGTACATTTAAAAGTGGCGAAAAAAATAGAAACTCACAGTAACATTAAATGTGTGATCTATAATAGGATGGTTCATGGATTTTATTTTGAACTACCAACATTAAAAATAAACTCACACTGAAACTGCAGAAAATGGATATTTGCCTAGATTGTCCCGAAAAGTTTTGTTGGGTACTGTTCATGGAATGAATTTTCATTATTTAAAAGAAATCGAAAAAGTATGCTAATAGAATAGAACAAAATTATAGTATAGTGAAAATATACATTCATATGTTGAAAATGACAGTGATTAACAATTACTCATAATATCTGAAGTGAATGTGGGTTTTTGGATAATGGTTTACATGTGCTTGTGTTATGATGAGCATAGATTAAAAAGCAAAGATAAATCTAGGTATTAATATCTTTTATTGTCATTAACAAGGCCATTCTGGTTGTTTCGGCTTTGGTTCTTCTCTGTTAACATCCCAGTCAGGGGCGGGAATGGTTATCTGATTACAATCGGGCTTTTCCTGAAAATTAAAGAATATGGTCAACCGTGTTCGTACACATCCACAGGCTGGCACATTGTCTTATTTTAAAAATCTTTGTGGTTGAATTGCCTGTGATGGCTCCTCTTCACTATGAACCATGCACTGCAATTAGCCAACGGAGGCTGTTGAATAGCTTCAGCCGGGCAAAGTTAGTGGACCCTTCACATAATGGCTATTGTACTCAATGGGGTCATTCAGTAAATTTTCAAAAATGTTCTTATTTTGAATATACAAAGTATTGCTCATGATTAGGCAATCCTGAAATTTTCAACTCAATCCGTTGAGCGGTTTTCAAACTATATCATTTTTGAAATGTGAATATTTGTCTCAGCCGTGGCAATGCAGTGATGTCACCGCATGGGACGGTCAGCCTGCTTGGCGTGTGGCATAATAGTTAGGCGCGTGTATGCTACTTCCAGACATACCTAAGTTACGCAGGTAGTTTTGTTAATTTCAAAATAAGTCATTTTTCAAATAAAAGATACCAAAAAAAAAAAATTAAAGTAGTTACTAATAGGCTATTGGTTTTAAATCTGCATGACAGAATTACGGAGACAATAACATAGTCCAGTTGAGAGAACAAAAAATGCATTAATACAAAATATCTATAAGTTTCCATATTGGTTTCAAGCTAAAAATAATGGTTATTTATGCACGAGTTTGTGTAAAATATTTCTTATGCTCCTTGCATAAACAACTTGTCTATCTTTCTTGTCGTTAGATAAATACGTCCTTTAGAAAGGCATTTTGGTGAAAAAAGTGCACTTTTCTTAACACTTGTAGAAAAAATATTTTTATATCTAGGTATGAGTTTTTATTTCCACACTGAGGAACAATACAATTTTTGTATTTTATTTCTGTTCTGTGTCTTCCATATTGCTAACAAAATTCAGTATCTTAACATACTCAATCGAAACTTAACAGGCAACTAAAACCTGACTGGCAGCGGTTTCCCATGCGTTGATGTCGTACCCACCGATTCAGCGGATACTCTGCGCACTAGTTTATGATTTTTTTGGATGACTTGTAGGCGATATAAAATTCTAGTTTTTTTGCAGAGAACCTTAAAATTGCATTATCTTTCTGTTAAGCAAATAAAAAAAATTTGCTGAATAAGCCCATTGGCCAGTAAGGTCCATCGTAAAGAGGGGCTATAAAAAAAATTTCAATTTCAAACCAAAAGAAAAAAATCAAATTTAGACTAAATCAACAAAAATATTTGAAAAATATATTTTTGGATAAGTGAACATTTCCATTTTCTTTGAAGTTGACGAACCCCATTATGTATTTCTAATAACACTGTTATAATTTGAATGAATCATAATCGATAATCCGATTATTAAAATAATTGGCATGGTTCTATTATTCCAGGGAGAATTCTAATGATAATCGGATATTAGTATAAGTAACAGTGGCTAGCTAAGTTGGTTATAAGCACCCTCTCGTTCAAGTTTGGAAGCCAAAAAATTCCTGCCGTGTTCGTTAATCGACATTGCGTAACAAACAAGCTGTTGCTAAGAGAATCTGAATTATTAACCAGCTTGCTGTAAACAAATCAGTGGGTAATCATGTCACTGTATTTGTAGATGTGCTATGAACCGAATATAAGTTAGTGCATCCGCTTTATGGGCCTATTAATCATTCAGATAATTATCCGATTATTGAAATCATTCGATTGTCGAGTATCCGATTATTGAAAGAATCCGTTTTTACAGATCACTAATTTCTAATGAGAATTGCATGTTTTGATAACATATCAGTGTTCCTACATTCTTACCTTAACTGGTGGAGGAGGAGGAGGAGGAGGAGGAGGGGGAGAGCAATCGGGAATAACCGCACACTTTTTCTGACGTTCTGCGGCCTCTTTCTTTATCTCTTCCAGGCTCTTTTCTAGTAACTTCATCCCTGCATAGCAGTGTTTCTTCTTAAAAGGTTTTCTCCTTACATTCGTCAAAGGGGGTGCACTTTCCAATATAGGGATCTTGGGCTTCCACATGAAGAAGCTACAAGGATGACAGGATCTTTCTACGAACATTTTTGGCTTCGGTTGTACGTTTATGGGATTTCCACAGCAGTCTGTTTCCTCACAGCTGTTTTTCTTTTTACTACTCCCAACTGTCATACTAAAGGGTCTGCTTGATTCTGGCTTGGTTGTAATGTTTTTAATTTGGGTATGAAGGCGTTTCATAGTTGTTTTTTTTTTTGTGTTTTATATATGCTTAAATTTTGTGAAGTGAAAATGGAAGTTTGCATGACAGTTATTGACAAATTATTTTGACAGTAAACCTCAATGTAAGCAATGAGAGTAGTTTGAGCTTAGAGTGGCATCTATTTTGAATCTCTTTCACTTTTATTTTTAGAAATATATTAACATTCAATATAATTTTTTTGTATATACGACGCCAATTTAAAAAATTATTAGCGCGACTGTGACACACTGATTAATGTCTTTAATTTACTATTGAATTATCCATGCTTTTATGGGCACCCTGGAAATAATTTTCTTTGCCACCAGGTTTTTTTTTACTTTTTGAAGCAAAAGGAAATCTGACTGCTAAATTTGGAAAATAAGACTGGATAAAACAACATTTAAATTAATTGTGCAACAGGATGGTGTTCAACCTTACTCATTTCAAATATTTGAAACAGGTTTGATTAAATTGATATTTACAGCATACTGATTGGCCGATTAATTTGAAATGTTGTATTTAGTTATAAGACACTCGTAGATATAGTTTTATAATATACCACAAGTATTTAGATAATATTAATTTATTATTATTACTGCCACTAATACATCACTCCACAAGTTTTTCAAGTAACCTTCGTAATATGTATTAGTAATACTATGATGCGGAAAATAAATTTATAGAAAAACGGACTGATTATTGTACACAATTTATTTATCTAAAAATATGTAACAATGCAATTTAACATCCGTCTGGTTTCTTTGGTATAGTTTTCTGAATTTTCTGCCAACCAGGCACAGGAGAGCCTGGATGGGGTTTTGCCCCAGCTGAGATTAAAGGGTAGGTCTGCAAGAAAAAAAACTGAATAATAGTTGAATGGAAGGTTGGAATTTCTGGGAGTTTTGCCACATCGTCCCTTTAGACTTCTTAATGTTACAAGTAGCATATCAACTTTTCATTTGAAGAAAATCGTTCCACATAGAAAGATATCTTAACAGTGTGTTATCGTTACCCAGCGAAATAGAGTTATTAGAAAAAGAATAGGACATGTCATTTTTTTTGTTATATGTAGTTTAAAAAAAAAAATGGATATCTCCAAATATCTTCTAAACAAATGAAGATAATGAAATTAAATTTTGCGTTCATAATGTAAAAAAATTTAGTCTCAATCCAAGCCAGTGACGTAAATATGAGGTCTGTTGGTTATATTTGTCTGAAAAATTTTGACACTCCTGCCACCGGAAACAATTTTTGAAATACATGTTTTATATTGAATGGAAATAATCTGTTGACTATTTTGCATAACTTAGCATTTTGGTACAAATTAGTAATTTGTAATGATATGATTCTGAAATTAAAATTAGATAGATGTTAGACATGTCAAAAATGAAAGAGCATTTTCCTTACCAGTATTTTTTTCTAAATTCATGAATAAAAAAGTTTCCCATTTGGTGACAAAAAATTTAGGAAATGGTGGTCATTAAAATATAGAAATTTTAGTATTACTCAACCTGGAAAAATGTTCCTACTGACGTGGAAACCTAGAAATATAGGGGAATTTTGAGATGAGGGACTAAAAGTAAGTACCTGAAATTTGGAAACGACACATCCGCAAAAATCTAACTACAGACTGTATTAAAAAATCGTAAATCAATAAACAATATAATTACCAACTAGAGGAGAATCTCCAGTTTTAGAGTTTATTCTGAACAAAATGATATGTGGGGCGATATGTGACAAAATGGCAACCAGTCCAGAAACTGTTCAGCCGTTGACTACCGTCACAGAAGCCTGATAAACAAGATAACTAAATAATGCTCTTGGAACATTTTTCTTCTATAAATTGCACCTCTTTGCCACTACATCAATATTTAACCAGTATCATATATTTCTACATAAAATCTGTAATTACACCTGCCTTTTGTATTTTCTTGCCACACTTGCATTTCCAACTTTCTTTCCGATCGGGTCTCGGCAAAGAGGTCTCCCAAGGCAAACAACCTCTTTGTGTGGCGTAGAACCTATTACTCAGGCTTTTCTCCATCTTCTCGAAAGTAGTTCTCAGTGTCAATCGCAGGATATTCCCTAGTTGTTTTAGCATTGTTCTTTTTTACCCTAAATGTTGACTTGGATATTAACTTGATTGTGTTTTCGTGGACCAGGATTTTGTAGTCTATTATTGGTTTTGGTGGCATTGCTACAGGGTTTTGGATGACATTTTTTGTGACAGTGTTACTTTTTCTAGTTCTCTTGTCATGCCTACTTTGCACATTTTGTAAATCTAATTTTTACTTGTAATAGTTTTAATAATTTGTATTGAATGTTTGATATTTTTCAGAAAATCATTTGATTCGCAATCCTCAACAGAAAATTCTCTCGTCAGTCAGTTGAACGGTGCTGGTGAATCGAACTGGGAGGCAAAGAGTCTAACAAACATGAGAAACTTGGTTCAGTCTAAAGATAGTAAAACCAATCTCAAGTCGGTACCGAAAATGTCCCAACCCCACTTTATTACTTTGTGGAAGACTGTCTATGACATATTTCAAACAGAACCTGAAGATTTGGTAAGAGAATACTAAAACATATTACAAAAGTTATTTGATAAAATTATTTATTATTCAGGATGTGTACCACGCTATAGCTAAAGTTGGAACCTTACTTTTGGAATTAGGCGATGTTGGCAAACAATTTTTTATCAACAGAGATGAGTCCGAAGACAGCTTAGTGTCTGCTGCAGCTGCTTGCAACTCGGGAATGTTTATAGATGGGGTGAGAATTACTAGATTTTACTATTTAACGTGTTAATGACAATTTCATATTTTCAGTCTCCTGATAAAAATGGAAACCCATCCACTCCCAAAACTGAAATTCAATGGTACATAACGGCGGAGCAGTTTTTAGCTTCTGTCTTGCACTCCCAACCATTGGTCGACTTCTTTTCAAAAAGAGTATCACTTTCTGAAAGCATCCAGCAATTCAAAAGTAGAAGATATTCTAGAATGAATTCTCTTTGTGATGTACCTGGTATAAAAGTGTAATAATCCCCACTTCCATGTGTACCTGCACAACACAGATTTAGAGTTTACATCAGTTATACTTTTCGTGCACGAAGCTTATACAAAACAAAAAGTAACGTAGTTTCAAGATTATTGCTCCTCATCAGTTACACTGTTTCTACATGTTGGCGTTTAGTGTTATCTGCACTTTTTTTATTCCGGAATATCGATCAGAATTTGAAGTGAGTCCAAATTATTATATCTTTCGTAGTCGTTCAAATTTCTAAACAAATTTATAAAGGAATTATGAAGAAGATTGACAATAATGTAGAATAAAATGATTAGTGAAGTGGAAGTATAGCTGAAATTAAATAACTATCTTTGGTTGATTATAGTCTGCCATAATTTCAGATTTTTTGTTTTTGATATTGTACATAAATTTGAAGCAGAAAAAAGTTTATGGATCATTTTGGAAAGGAAAATTATTCGTGTCTAATTTCATTTTTTTATTTTTTTTTAAGTCTACATTGAATTTAAAGTGCATTGTTCATAATTTTCAGATTTTGAGGTATGTCCAAGATTCAAAATTGGATTTATTTCAAATTTTTATCCGAACAGCAGCTATTTGTATAATGTTTGTATATTATAATGTGAATATTTTAATCATATTTTAAAACAGTAAGGATTTTAGTCTTATGTGCAATATATCTAGATATAAATCTTTTTTTTTTATTTTATGAAAATTGTATTCTAATAGCATTTCAAATTTTTACCCAAGATGTGTGTTTGTCGTTATTTTATTACTGAATATACAGGGTATAGTAAAAGTACCGGAACGGCAGAATAACTCGGTGGGAGAGCATTTTAGAGAACAATGTTAAATACAAAAGTTTCAGGATTTCTTCCTGGCTATCCGATGGTGACCTTGATGTTGAAGATCATTTCAAGGTCAAGTGTGATTTTTCAAATAGGACCCTATACTTTAAACCCCAGAAATGAAGAGCGGAAAATTTTATGTTCAGATATGACCTTGAGTGACCCCTCCCATTTGACCTTCGGGCCCCCACAAGGTCAGACTGGGATTTGTGGCAAGGAAATAGCAGATAGATTGGCCTCCTTGGGGGCCAGTTAGACTGAGCATGGGCCAAAACCCTTCGTAGAACTGCCCTTCAGCTGGGTCAAAGCCATCATCAGGGACTAGGTCAATCAGGAGCACATGAACTGGTGGTGGGGAACCAGTGGTTGTAGTCAATCTAAGGAGATGCTAGGACTCATACCAAACAAGGAGTGGATTTTCTCTTCTCATTTCTGGTAAAAAGTATAGGGTCCCATTTGAAAAACACATTTGACCTTGAAATGATATCAAGGTCAAGGTCAATCAAGGTCACCATCGGATAGCCTGGGAGAAATCCTGAAACTTTGGTATTTAACATTTTTCTTTAAAATGCTCTCCCGCCGAGTTATGCTGCCGTTCCGGTACTTTTGCTATACCCTGTATACATTGCCTAACTCATTGTCAATATTTTAATCTCGGTTTTTACATGGGATTTTATTAGATTAATGTGCCATAAGTGATTCTGTGTTGACAATGAAATTTCGCTACCAAAAGGATGAATTAAATAAAGTATATATTTCTATTGTCAAGTTATCACTTTATTGGGGTTTTGAAAACTAGGCGTGTCTGTCTTAGGATGATATAGTAGAACCGTTTTAAGATTGCCATTACGTCACGCGTGTGTCCTAATATCAAAGACAGTCGTTGTGGACGTGTATTCATTATTAAGCGTGCTAAAAAGAGATACAATGATGGTATAAATGTCTTCATAGTCTCAATCTATCACAGACAACCGTTCCAATATTTTATGTGTATTAGAGTGAAAGAAAATGGAGGACGTTTGTTGGGTATTAATTTTAGACTATAGTTTGACTAACGCATTTAAAAACAGAACTGACACTCAGATTAAAAATTTGACAGTTGTTTTGATCGCGTCTCCGTACTATTATATATATTTTCTGAGCGTGGAAATATCGATTTTTTGGCATATTTTCATATCCAGGAACACCAGTGGTGAAATTTGCTTGTAATCCAGATTTGGGAATTGTCAAGATGACATTTCATTTATATGCAAACAGTGACTAATTTGACTAGGATTTTTCGTCTTAGTTCATAGAATGTTGCTTGTGACGCAATGGAAAAGATACAGCGGTTTCAGTTTACTAACGTTAAGCATGCTCAGGAGATTTCGTAACTGACAAAGTTATCAATCGTGTAACTAAAACCATAGTTTTATACAGGACGTTAATTAAATTGTGGTTTTTCCTTTTATCTCTGACAGGTTTCAATAAAATAAGTAGTTTCAAATAGTTGGAACAAAATAATTAGTATACACCGCCTTCATAAATGATTAGAACCTGCGTAACCAGAAATTTTGTTTGGAATAGTAATTTTATTTCCTTTGTGCTGGCAATTAAATTTCAGTAAAACGACCTTGCCGGAATCCTTATTTAAATTGGTTTTCGGTCAAATGGTTTGAAACCAGATGGTTTTTGTAGCTTTTGAGTGGTAGATTAAAAGTGTTAATGGGCGTGAAGCCTTAAAAATTCATGGTTCAAAGTTGCAGCTCGCTGAAGCTACAATGCTTTAGATTTCACTACCTGCATAGTATAGTAAAAAAATACTACATTTTTGCTCAATGCCCAATAAACTATCGCCGATATATCGAGATATTTGACTGAAAGGGTTAACAGCGATATTGAGATGATCTTTCAGATTACGATCAGTCCAATCGATTTTTCACAATCATTATCTTACAATAAAAATCATAGTGATAGCCGTCTGCATTTGCGTGACCCAATGTATACCATGGGGAGGTTGCTAGATTGGACTTAGCACATCATGGGATTCATTAGAGTACTTGATATTATTTCGAAGCAGCTCGTAGCCTATAAACCAAAAATACAGGCAATATGAGCACATGTGCCTAAAGTCCAGTCACCAGATAAACATGTGCAACAACATCTTATTCCGTTCATTTGTCTCTCTCTATCATTTTTCCTCGTGATTTTATTGTCATCTAGTTGTTTCTGGCTTAAAGTTCGACAAGTTGCCTCAGCATGCATAAAATATAATGTTGCTTTTAATGACTTGAAGCGAATACTGCGTTTTTGAAATAAAATGTTACTTTATGCACGCTCGAGCCAGAATCCTCCGCTCGCTGTTTACCCCACTACCGCTACCCGACTCTGGTTCGAGCGACTTTCAAGGGCATTTTTAGCATATTTCCCATCACCCAGCCGAAAATCCAAGATATACAAATTGGAGATTTTGTCGTCTACTTTCAGATGCCGTTTTCAGAATTTAAATCGGACCGTTTTTGATAAATCGCCACGCTGTGCAAAAAAGACCCTAATTTGTTTATAATGCAATAGTGCAAAAACTGCATCAGACGGAAACCATCTTGCGCATGATTAAACTACATATTATTTTGCGCAAGATTGTTTTTTCAGGTTCAAATTTGACGGAATTATGAATTTTTGAAAAAAGGCCTATTTTAGAGGTTTTTCCACATTTTCTCTGTAAAAAATGAACCGATCGGGTCCCACCAAAAACCATTTTATAGGTTTTTTTCTTCTCTACAAAAGCCCTATAGAGAGTAAGACGATTCCATCATTATTTTACGAGATATTATAGAAAAACCAAGAAAATGTAATTTTTTTGCAGTTTTTTTGTTTAAAAAAAATTGTTCACGACTTTGCTGGGGAAATCACTTGGGTTTTCATTTACTAAGTATTTTTCAAAAGGAAATACATAAAATTTGCTGTAATATTTAAGTGTAAAAACAGCCTCTGTTTTCGCTCTATTGGTTGGCCTATAAGCTCAACAACATTCGCATTATCTCGGGCGTAGACGTAACGGTTTGTCATTGTTCATTGTAAATGAATCATTAATATTGATACCAGCCATGCAATGTTGGTTGCCTAAGCTAGGCAGTCACATGACTTGTAATCATTTCTAAAGGCTCTGTACTAATGAATGGAAGCTTAACCAAATATTTAGAAAGTAGTTACATTATCGTAGTTACAGTAATCATGTTTCCCTTTTACTACTATTCAGAGAATGATATTAGTACACAGGGAGTCTCATCAAAATAGCCATAGTATCGTGATTGTATGCAGAATGTGTTCCGTTTCAATTTCATCCTACAGCTTGTAGTGTTGTTTATGTTATTCAGACGGCTTGAGAAACAAGACACTTATAGGAAAGTAACAGAGAACTTGCTGGAAAAGACTTTTTGGGGAGGAAAATGGGTACTTACGCTCTATCGCACCTGGTACTGCGGGACTCTTACTGGTTAAAAGACCTCCTTTTCTTCTACAGATCTCCTGCTGGATTCCACTTATCTGAAACTACTGGCATTACACTGGATTCGCAGAGAACCACTTTGTCTCACACCTTAATTTTAACCATCCTGACCCACGGCCTGTCTCCTTAACTCCTCATATTATTTCCTCGTTACTGTAATCAAAAAGTTTTCCGTCGCCATCCACCCTTCCTTGCTTCCTATCATTATTGTCACCAGATTTTCTGTTACTATTCCTCCAACCACAGTCGAAACACGTATGAGTTGCATTATCAGTTTCACCACAATGTTCTGTTATCCCCCGTTTTTCCTATTTGGTAGGTATATGTCCCGAAAAAGCCATAACCCGTCAATATAATAATCAACTCGCAAAATAAATATTGATATATTATTACTCACAAAAAAAGTCGCAAATCAATTTTTTTCATAAAAATTGAACTTGCCGTCTATTTAATATAGAACTTATTTCGTGAAATAAGGCAGCAATGCTCCTCTCCTTCAAATTTTTTTCGCTGACTGCGTGGCGTGGTACAAAAGTTATGGAAGTAAAGAGGGGGAGGGGTCCTGTGCCTGTGTTTGAAAATTGTGAACAAGCCCATTGTGAGCAGAATACAAAAACTTTCGAAAAATTAGTGCAGCTTAGGACCATTCTTACATATTTTTATCTATGTTTAGGACTTAGAGGGAACTTTGCTCGCAAGTTCAAGGAAGGCGGTTGTCACATAAAAAATTATTTAAGAGTAGGTTGATACTCGGGGATGTAGCTCAGGAGGGTGATTTTACAGAAATAGTTTAATGGGCTCGCAAGGTAAAAATATTAATATCTCTAGTATCATGAATTCGCAAGGTCAAGGAGACTGTTTTACACTCCCCTATATAAGAAAATATAATATCTCGGAACGCAAAATACAATTTGGTTAATTTTTACTTAAAAATCACAAATATTACTTTTTTAAATACAAATAACTAGTTTCATCGACTCGCAAGGAGGGCGATTTTACACACCCTCAATCCCCATTTAAAAAAATTATAACTTTTATACAAACATGAATTGTTTGTTTTTCTACATAAAAATGGGAAATGAGAGTTATTATAATCCAGAAATATCTTTTTGAAGTCGGGGATGTAGCTCAGTGGTAGAGCGTTCGCTTTGCATGTGAAAGGCCCCGGGTTCGATCCCCGGCATCTCCAACTTTTTTCGTTATAAAATTTAATTTTAAACATTTTTATACAACAAACTTTTTAGGTGATAAAGTCTTATTGATAATGTTAATTAACAGAATCAGCTTTCTAAAAATGAAAAATCTTTAATATAAAGAGCTCAATACGCAATAGAAAAGTACTGGGAGTACTGAAACTTTCTAATAAACTCAAAACTAGAGATACCACTCTATATAGGCATATGAGTAACTATATGCACAGAATGAAGCGTTACTTGCGCTCTTGCGCATCGCTTACGATGATTTTAAATTAATGTTGCAGATGTTACCTCCGATATTTTCACATTTCTTGTTCAGGTTAAAAAAAATTGTAGTTTGATATTTCAACCTTATCTAAAATTTCAGTCCTTGAAAATAATAATGTTTATGTATCAATTCTTACTTTTCTCAATTTCACTACAGATGTCGCCCTTTTAGGTGGATATAAATATGTTTTCAGTTTTGAGTCTATTACTGTAACAGCTATGCTTTAGTGTTTAGTTAGTCAGTAGATTAATGCTGAAGCTGAAATTACTAAAAGGACATTAATTTAGTAATTAAATGTGTCCATATTATAATATAAATAATTAGTAAGCTAATTCTACATAGAATATTAGTGAATATTTTACATAATATTGAAAGTGTAGTGTATAGTGCGTAAATAATTTAGTTTCGCTCCTTACAAAGGTATTGTTTGCAATCTTTGAGGGTATTGAAAATAACTAACATAAATTATTAAAGTTTTAACAAAACGACAATTACTGAAATACTGAAATGGATTATACCAAAAATCTTGATAACATAGTTGAACAACTACTGCACCATCTGTCGGCTAAGAAACTAGTCGCAGCAACATCGAAACTGTTTTCTATTTTAGAAACAAACTCTGAACGGGTGGACTTTGCTTATCGGTTACTAGATGAATACCATTTGCTTCCCGCGTTAAGCGAAGATTTAAAAAATAATGATTTAGCTGCAAAAATAAGGCAGAAGGGCAACGAAATGTTTAAAGTAAAGAAAAACGGGGAAGCTATAGAATTGTACACACAAAGCGTTGCACTCGCAGCAGACGGATCAGAATATTTGGCTTTAGCATATGCCAATAGATCTGCAGTATTGTTTGAAAGGGGATTTTATAGGGAGTGTCTAAAGGTAAATACGAAAAATTAATTTAAAGGTATACTTATCTAAACATTATTTAGTTTAATGTATTTAAATTAAAAGAAGTTGTAATTTTTATTTTTCTAGGACATAGATCAAGCCTTAAAAAATAACTATCCAGAGAACTTAAAACCAAAGTTACTGAAAAGAAGAGAGAAAGCAAATGACTTAAAAGGAAAACAATTAATTAGAAACTACTTTGAACCCATTCCAGAAATTCCAGAAAACCAGAAGAATACATTAATTCAGTGTGCTAGTGATTCGATAGAAATAAAACGTACTGAAAATCAGGGAAGACATGTGGGAGCTACCAGAGACATAATGGTAGGAGAAATATTGGCCGTAGAAAAACCATTTTGCCATATATTGATAGAACGGTTTTATAACCACTGTCACAACTGTCTGAAACTCTGCTACAATTTGATTCCGTGCGTGAGATGCACTCAAGTTATGTACTGCGATGTAAAATGCAGGGACAATGATGATGGCTACCACAAATACGAATGTAGAATTTTAGCCACAGTTAGAAAACTAAATATCGACAAATTGAAGCTCCTACCTCTAAAGATAGCTTTGCTAGTGAAAGACAAGTATCCAATCATCAAAGAAATGGATAACACAGAAGAAGGCTTGTACCATTCCGACAGATATAAAGAGATTCATAATTTAATTCCAAATACATCCAGTCGATCAGTTTCAGATATGTTTGATAGATCTTCAACATCGGCAATTATCTTTCATCTAATCAAAAAATTCACAGACTTCTTTCAAAGTGAGGAAGAGGAGACTATTTTCAAGGATCTGATTCTGCTGCACATGCAAACGAGTGCATGTAACTTTCACGAGATCTCAGAACTAGCTGAAAACGATATAGGAATTTATGAACCAGATGAAATTGGAGCTGGTGCCTATTCCTTTCTGAGCATGTTCAACCACCGATGCAGTCCGAACGTGTTGAGAGATTGCTACGGACCTGTGGTTGTGATAAGAGCCATAGAAAACATTAAAAAGGGGCAGCAGTGCTATGATAATTATGGGTAAGCTTCAATTTCAAATGAAAAAGGTTAAGGTGAAATAAACTAGCTTCACATCAAGTTTAACGCAGCACTGAAATTGGGCCCTAAGTTTTTTTTCTCAGAAAGTTAATCTGAGTTTGATGATAATTTTTATCTATAGAGTTATGTATCAGTGATGATGCTAAGATACCTATACCGGTCTGGCCAGTTAATTCTTTCGCATAGACTAAGTAAATTACACGCATCTCCCATATAAACTTGGGGTGGAAGGGGTTGGACATGACATATATAATCGAGGCTGCGACTCGGACTCTCGTAATTGGTTGGCTTTGGGAGCGCCGTGCCCCGTTGCATTTTTTTGTGAACCGACCGAATTCCTAAAGCGCTTTGCTGTTTGTTTACTTTTATTATTATTCCACTCAAACCTTTGCTAAGAAGTAGATGGAATATTACAAAATAAAAATGATGTACAGTGTCGAACAAAAAATTAATATTATTAATTCGTATTGTCGTGCAGAAAGTGCAGAGAAAGTCGTTGGTCGATTTATATTTTCATACCCCAACGAACCAGTCACCACTGCTAGAACTATTTTGAATATTTTTCATAAGTTTGAGGAGTGTGGATGTGTTAATCGGTGTACGAAATGTAGCAATCAGGAACCTCGTCAAATTCCTGAAGCAAGGAGAGAAAAAGAGGATATGACTGTGCTTTTGTGGAAGTATGTGAGCCGTGTTCTTCCTCCCAAATTTCCAAAGAACTTGACATTCCAAGTCCTACAGTTCGTCGCTTCTTAAAAAAGAATGGTTACAAATCCTATAAAATGCAAACTTCTCAAGAAATTATTCCTGGTGATCAAATAAGGCATATAGAGTTCTGTGAATCCATTAGAGAAAAAATAGATGAAAATAATGAATTTGCTAGGCAGATTTTATTTACAGACGAATAGTCTTTTTCCCTACTTGGCCGTTATAATCCTTTAGTGGTCCAATATTGGTCTCGGAAAAACAAGCATTTAAGTATACTATTAAGAACGTAGTACTCTCAAAAGGTAAATGTTTGGGCTGGCATTTTAGGCGATAACATTTTGGGTCCCTTTTTTATTAATGGCAACTTAAATGCTGAGAGATATTTGCATTTATTACAAAATAGTGCTGTACGAAACTTGAATGTAGATTTTGAGGAAATTTGGTTTCAGCAAGACGGATGCCTTTCACACAACACAAGGCCAGTTCAAGATTATTTGGAACAAACTTCCTGAAAGGCTTATTTCCACAGGAGGTATCATACCTTGGCCACCTCAATCTCCAGATCTGACACCCTGTGACTTCTTTTTATGGGGTCATTTAACGTAACTTCTCTACAAATATCGACACGAAAGAACCACAAATTTGGACGAATTACAGCTTAAAATTAGAAGTATTTTAAGATCAGTTATTACTCCTGAAATTTTGTCAAATGTTCGTCAAGAATTTTATGACAGATTAATTAATAATATGCTTTATTTAATAAGCATTTGAAAATAATTCATTATTTTGCTTAAGACTTACCACTCATTTTATTTTAGAATTCCGTTTTAGTTTTTACTAAAGGTTATAAATAAGTTGTAATAAAGTTGGAATGCTTTTAGTATGGTTCTCAAAACCTCTTATCATTCTTGTAAAAAAATATCGTACAAATATGGTAATTACTGTACGTATGGCAACACTGCTGTCAATTCCAGGCCGTGGCTTATACTCTATGCCATCATAAATCAAAAACGTAATTATTGTTCAGTATTCTATCTACGTATCTTAGATTGTTGTTCCCAAATTCCTAATGCAAGACAAAGACAATAAACCAATAGTCAAGGAGAGCTTAGAACTGCAAGCTTTGCACACTTCTTATGGCAATTTTTTATTACCTTATATCGATGGCATAAAGTTATACAAATGATATGGGGGCGGAGTCAGAATTATTAGGGGAGATTGGTGAAATATTTATATAATTTACTAACTTTGTATCGGAAATAAAAATATGACCAGACCTGTATATTTTTATCGAAATTTCATTTTTTATCATAAGGAAATATAAACAAATTGTGCAAAAATTGAGTTAGAGAATTAGATTAGCTCTTCATAGCATAATTACACCCCATTTTAATAGTGCATGTGCAAGCTACAATTTTTTCATTTTTAGATACCACTATGCTGTAATGTCTAAGCCTGATAGAAAAGCAAAACTCAAAAAACAGTATTTCTTTGACTGCACTTGTGAAGTCTGTGAGAATGACTGGCCCCTATACCAAAACTTGCGAGAAATCCAGACTAATATCTGTATAGAACCAGATGATATTTCAAACCTGCAAAATGGAAACGTTGAAGCTGCTAAAGAGATTTTGGCAAAAATGTTACCAAAAATGAAGGAACTGGAAAAAGTTAAACCCAATCGAAATCTTGCTAATGTGCAGGAAATTGTCAAGCAATGTTTCGCACTATTGGGAAATGTTAGAAAGACCTTATAGTATAGTATTTTCATTTTTAATAAACTATGTTTGTTCATTTATGTCTTATTCTGCGCAGTAAGTAGTTATTAAAACAAATTGTTTTTTTCAAAGGCACTTTACTTCAAATGAAATAAAACACACAAAACAAACTTCAACAAATACAAAGCTACAAATATCACTTGAATAATACTTATATTAAAATACGATCGACCTCAGTCTGTCTCGTTTTGAGTTTAAGGCATAGGCTTCATTTTCTAGTTTCAAGTTGCGAAAATTTGTAGTTGTTAGTAAACTGTTAATACAAAGAGTGCTTCGAGTTTGATTCATGCACAACTTCAAATTCAAAACGCTCGAGTCATTAAATTATTGTGTTTCCTACTATTGTATTTATTTATTATCATCATTGCCACCAATCATATCCAAAAGGTCATGCTTAAAGCTGACTTCTTCTTCATCCCTTAATATCATGTCATTCATCAAACTTTGCAATTTAGTATCATCGACACTAACGTCTATGGTGTCGAAGGCCACTTTTCTTTCCTTAGCACGGTTTGCGTTTTCGTCGCTTATGCTCAACTTGAAGCGGTTGTCTTCAGCATTTTCAAGCAGTTTACGTTGGCCCAGCATTTCATTTACAAAGTGTTGTAATTCGTCTACCGGTTTTGGTTCTTGCAAATCTGAGGTAGATGTGTGTTTTACTTTGTTTTCCAGAATCCTGCCGTTTTGAGTTACCTGGTATATGTTTTCACCTAGAAATAAAACAAATACACCGATTGCTTTAGGATTAGTTGAAAAACTTAAAATTTCATCTAAATAAATAATATAAAAAGTCCTTTTCATATAAATATGTGAACAGTGGTGGGGATACCAGCAATCATTCAATAAAAATGCTGGAAATTTTATGCCATTATGGATATTTTCGAATTTGGTCACTGCTTATTTGTACTGCTAGTGCTGTCATTCGAAAAATCAAACACTTCATTGATCTAGCACACTGAAAGAAATCCACTAAGTGAGGGTCTTTGATAAGGTATTTTAGTTACAGTAGGTAAAATTTTTGCCGTCAGAAAAAAATTCATGCTGCCACAAGTAAGTACGTTTTGCTGAAACGTCCCTGGTAGTACAATCGTGTGCAATTCTAATACAAGTTGTTTCAAGTTTACTTGAAATAGACAAATTGTGTCAGATTGTTTTGTGTCTATTGCTGAAATTTATATCGTTTCTTATGCAAGATACTTTTACAATACTTGCACCAGACTTAACCAAAAGTACTTGAGTCCAAAGGGGTGAATTAGTATGTCAAGTACAATATGTCTTACTTAATTCTAATGTAAGTCTGCAACATAGTCACTTGCTTTAATTTACCCCTTTGTGCTCAAGTGCCCTGAATCAAAATCAAATCCATTGAAAGCTTTGATCAAGACAATTGCACAATGAATCTTGCAGTAAACCTGATGCTGATTTCGGCGATAGGTACACAACAGTCTTGTATAAGTGTCTTGTGCAAGATTTTGCTACCAGGGGTGTTTACAACAAAAAAAGTCTTGTGGCTATGATAGTTCAGTTGGAATTTTATTTTAGTCGACTGCCTATCTGTCCCAAGTGAGTTGCTTTGCTCGGGTAAGTTTTTTAGAATTGATCCAATTGGGGTTAGTCACTCCTTATTTGTATAGAAAATTAGGGTTCAATTACTATAACTGAGGCCTCACTTAAAAATTTCCAGAATAAACCGGAATTCGACTCAGTGCGCATGCGCGATTACGCGTGCCTTATGCTGACCATGGCTTCGCCCATAGAGAAGTTAGAAGTTTCGCCATTTTGCTGTAACACGTAACACAGGATATAAATTCGTCAATCATTAGTCGTTGGGTCCTTTGTAATAAATAGATGTTTTGTCATCGAGTGTCGAGTCAGTTTTCAGTTGTCTAACAACTGCCAGAAAGTTTTCAATTTGGTATTTGCGTAGGTAACTCTCTTGGCGCCTATTTAATGCAGATGTTTTGTTACGGTTAATGGATTTTTACTAACCATAGCAAAGAAATTCTGTCAGTGCATAATTCTAGAACTATTTATTTGGATTTATGGATTTTTTTTAAGAAAGGGGTAGGATAGAATTATTTCACTTTTATTGAAGTGAAGTGATAATGTTAGTTAAAACAGATGATTATTCTTTTAGGAATGTCACTACATGCAGTTATCGAATTTACAAAATATGTACTCACTATGCCACATAATATGAATAGATCCTTTTCCAACATTTAATACGTACAGCAGGGTGTTCAAGCACATACAGATTTCATCATATTTCCATAATTTTTTAGATAATTCATACAGAATTTTTAATGATTCATGCCTTTTCCGACTTACTTACCCAAATTCCTAAGCATTTCTTCAGCAATAGGATCTAGATTGTTAACTACAAAATTCCCGTCCATATTCTGCAACCCCATTCTCAGCAGGAGAGAAACCCTAACATTATAATTCTTGAGCCAAAAAAGTACATCTTCATGCAGGGCAGTTTTTTCCTTTTGATCCAAAATCTTATTGAAGTTTTCAACCAAATTTTGGACCCTGAGCAGTTGCTGATGAGTATCTGGATTGATGATGTAGCTCTCTATTTCATAGAGATGTCTTAAAGTGATTCCTATTAAATTGTCAGACATGGACACTTGCCATTTAAACACCATGGTTATGAGATCCCATAGCTTCCCCATACTTATGGGGTCCAGTCTCATCGCTGATGATTGCGTGACGTCCTCTATTATCGCACGCACGCTGTTGTGGTCGTGAGTTGTCTGAGGTTTCATCAGGTCTACTATGAGCGGTTTTGATATCAAAACAGATATGATTTCTTCCAAAACTGAAACAAGAAAGATTGGGGGAATATTAACGACGAACAAACAATAAAATAGACGGATTCTACATCAAAAAGAAAAATTAATATTTTCTTAACTTTTAGTCGAATGTGACATTTTAAAAATATGTTCAAAACACAACTAAACTAAACATAAAAATTTTATACATTTTTTTTATTTTTTGACAAGATTAGGGGGTTATAATATTTTTAAAAACTAAATTATTTTTATAAAATACTTTTTTTGTACAAATATTTCATTAATCACGCAGAAAATGATTAAATAAAATATTTGCTTTCAGATAATTTTTAGATTGTAATTAACATTTAAAATATTGAATACTATTTAAAAACGTGTTCAAAATTGGGATGGTAAACAAATAATTCTAAAGTTTACGATATATCCATGAATAAAAAATATATTATTTACATGCGGCTTATTTCCTCAGGTATTTTAAGACGTATCCTTATCTTCTCATTAATTTTGAAAGCGCACTTATTGAATGTAGAACACAAAATATTTTCCATCTCATATTTATAGAAACCTTTTTAAGATATAGTCCGCTATTAACATTTGGCCAAACATTTTATAGTTACACCCTGTAAGTACCTATAGTGTAATTAAAAATTGATATTTTTACTCCGTCACGCAATTAAGGTTACGACCAATATAAGGGTGAATTACATATAAATTCAAAATTACATTTTGTAATTAAGGGAATACAAAATACCCCACTCAAAGACGTCCAAATGTTATTTTGTGTTTCGCTTCTATTCAATCAATAGTTACATATGTATTTATCATTTTAAAACGTAAACATATACCAGAGTATTTTTGTAAACGAATTTCATCAATATTTTTTCTGTTGGAAGATATTGATTTGCCGGCGGATTGTCGTCGTGTATATATTTTTTTAAATGCATCTTTTATATTCTTACTTTTTATGATAGCATAGACGCATACTAATCAATATGTATTTATTTGCACAGGATGTTGTTAAATTTGTTGTCCTTGAATAGAAGATGATTATAGCTGTTGGTATTTAAATACCTATGTTTATGGAGTCTTGAATCGTTTTGAATAGATGGGTAAGGTTTTATATTGTTTGGAAATTAGCGATGAGTATTACTTTACCAATTTATACTATCTTACCAAGCGTACCAATATACTCAGCAAATAATAATAGATAATATATACAGATAGCATACAAAAAAGCAATCGATCTTCAATTGAATTTTTTTATTGATTCACGTGAATTTGTGGCGTACACAAAATATTGTTTGTCATCGGAGTTTACCCCTACTTTCATGAACTGTTTTCTGCCCCCGTAAAAATTCTCTTGCCTACACCACTGCTATTTGACATATAAGCCTTATTCGAAGCATGAAGCTACATATAACAGGAATTCTATAGTTATTGCTTTTGCAGAGATTGTTATAGGAAGTGTTTATACAAATGCGCGTATTTTTGTGATGTGAGATATACAAAGAATTAATAAAGCGATGCGCAATACGTACTTAACTAAATCGAGCCTTATACAAAACGAAAGAGTACAAACAAAAAAGCATCGTGCAGATTGCAGGAATTTTCGAAAAACCTGCCGGCAGAAGTGAAAAGTGGGAAGTGTGTCGTGTACAAATGTATGATCACCTAGTGTGGCCCGTTCATGAGGTATATTTTGAGCTTGCAGTCGTTGAGCAATCACGAATATCATTTCTGAGCCGAGATTTAACACAAGAATCGGTGCCACATACTGAGACATCGTGTTAAACTAACCGCCAATCGATATTTTAACCAGCTATATAGATGTCTGATACGCATAAAAATCCCCAATCACTTCCATGCCTTGTCATTCGTGAGCTTGAGCAGTATCAATGAAGTACCAACCCGCCATCTAGCGTCTTTAAATTTGAAAAGCTATTGAAGTTGAAAGCCACTGTATTGTTTTTTATGTTCTGATAACATTGCTGGAAAATAAAATCCAACTCGTATCGTCTCTCGTGTCCACTTTTCTCATTTTTACTATTATTGTAAACACTGTAGTTGAAATTTTTACTTTAGTGTATTCACCGGTAGATGATAGTTTAGTAATCAAATATTATGGACTTTACAAATATTATACAGGGTGTTGCAATATTTCATGTAGGTACATATATGTAACTACTGAAGACTTTTAGGTGAAATTAAGATGAATTAAATTTTTATTCTTTATATAGCCGCTAGACGGCCTTAAATTTGACAAAACAAAATATATTTTCAAATAAGTTGTTTTAAGTGTTTTGCCTAATAATTTAAATCAAATTTTGTACCTGGTTAATTGCCTAGCAGATGAACATAAGTTTTTGAGAGGATAACTGAATTATATATTTGAGTTAAGTGTATTTGTTCAAATGGGAACACATGACGATTCAATCAAAAAAGTATATTCACATACATTTTCTCCTATTCTAAATTCTAAATAAGGATATCTTCCCCTCAGATCTCAGAAAGGGTTGTATATTATGCAAACTATTTTTTTTCTTAATCAATACAAACAGATGTTTTCTTATTTTTCAAAAAATTTTCATAGTTCCCTTAAATTTCACCAAAGTTTAAATTTTAAATGAAAAAATTTAAATTTTAAATAAAAAAATACTACCTATATTGTATTTATCAGTTGATTTCAGTAAGAGATACGAAGTATCTTAAATGGGGGCAAAGTTGCGTAATGAAGGGACCAACATTATGCCTCTAAAAAATCAAGACTAACATGATTAGTTTTCAAAATATTTGAAAAAAACTGAAATTTTTATAAATCTGATTTTCTTTCATTTCAGCCTTGTTTGAGGTGATATTCAAAAAAGACGAACACTTTTCTCATAGCAACTTTTTGCCCTCTATGGAATGGCATAATTAATTTTTATATGTAATGTTTCGTTTTTCCAGAACCACCATCAACTTAATTTTTTTAAATACGTCCCTGGAAATTTTATTACTGCCTCAGTTCGAACCAGATTCAGATGTTTTGTCTTGAAAAATTCGTCTTCAGTGTATTTGTTCCAAATTTATCTAACTTTTTTATTTAGACTTCTATGTTTATTGAATTATCGTACACTGCAAGTGTGAAATCCATCTAGTTATTTAAACTATTACCACCGTGCATTACAATAAAACATTTATTATTATTAACTATTACCATCACCTGGTCATACATAACTCGATAAGTTGTTGCGTCAGAATCAAATTATTATTTTACAATTTTAATTTTATTATGACAAATTAATTCTTAAAAATTCATATGAACAACCAAAACGCCAAATAAATATTATACTTTAAAAAATTCAGTAAATGTTCAAAAACATTTCTGTTTTAACAAAGGTTGAAAATGAAGATTAGCGTAATATTATCGGAATGTATTATACCTGTAACCTTAACTGTGAAAGACCGTGTCAGACGTATTTGTACGAATATCCTGAAAAAAATTAGATCAAAATTTGTTTGAATTTTGAGCACTCGAGAAGCCTAGAAATAACTCTAAACGCTAATAATGTTTTATTCTAATGTATGGTGGTAATAGTTTAAATAACTAGATGGATTTCACAGGGTCTACTGACACTTAAAGTGTACGATAAGTCGATAAACATAGAAATCTAAATAAAAAATTTAGATAAATTTATAACAGACAAAACGTCTGAATCTGGTTCGGGTTGAGGTAGTACAGTATTGGGGGTCATGAACATGAAGGCTTGCAAAAAATGTAATAAAATTTCCAGGGTCGTATTTAAAAAAATGAAGTTGATGATGGTCCTGGAAAGATAAAACGTTAGATATAAAAATTGATTATGCCATTCGATGAAGGGCAAAAAGTTGCCGTGAGAAAGTGTTCTTCTTTTTTGAATATCACCTCAAACAAGGCTGAAATGAAACAAAAACAGATTTCCAACATTTTGTTTTTCTTTCAAATATTTCGAAAACTAATCAAGTTAGAATTGATTTTTTGGAGGCATTACGTTGGTCCCCTGATTATGCAACTTTGCCCTCATTTAAGCTACTTCGTATCTCTTACCGTTTTCAAGATCCCTGTAGTGAGAAGCGAATTTGTAACAGCCTGTATAGACATAGAAATTTTCCCCTAAGAAACGGTATGGGTCCCACTGGCTAAACCGTCAAAAAATGGAGATAATTTGACTTAATATAGTAAATCCGTGCACAGTTACATTTTAACATGCAACATGGTCCAAATCTAGAAACAAATTTCTAGCCACTGTACAGATAATCTGCACATGGTTAACAGAGATTCTACTGTATTAGTTTAAATAGTTTTAACCTAAAAAATCTGTGATAGTTCCATATTCACGGAATCTTGGGACATCTCGTATACATATATTTAATGATTTATTTAAAAGTTTACATAATTGTTTTATATATAATATACTCGTACTAAGGTTTTACAAGTAAATTTTTAAGTTTATTTTTAACAAATTATAAAAAATAAACTAGAAGGAGTTCAGGTATGATCCTTGAGGAAGGTTAAGTAAAAAATATGAAATAAGGCTCATCTACGTTTTATTTCAAAAATACTTAAACATTAACAGAAAACAACTAGGTATATTTAAATTTAACTTTGTATAATACAGTCTATGTACAAATTACCATTAATAAGTAAAATACATATCTTACATTAAAAATGATTAACGCAGTGCTACGGACTTACCCTTAACGGGACTGCCTTAAATTATTTTCACTTTAATTTAATTGCTCCTGAGGATTGTCATTTATTATTCCCGCGTTAATGGTAAGGACGTAGCGTTACATCAGCGTTTACAAGAAATAAATTAGGTTATAAAATAAATAAGTCAACAAGAGTTTTAAATATATATAAAAAGTTTTAAGCAAGTACTCGTTTTAAACAACATACAGAAAATGTACTAGCACGAAATAGGTGGAATGATGACTTAAAAGTTTGTTTCAACAGCGGCTACCATGGAGGAAATCATTTATACCTATGCTTACATTCGATGGATTTTTAATACTTTGTACTGTTGGAACAAACCAGAGAAAATTAAATGTAAAAAATATGATGAAGGTAAGTAATTACTATTAAAAATTAAAAATGGAAATTGTTACTTAAATTCGGCAATATACCCATTTATAATGACTAGAGTTTGACAATTGTGTGCGAAATCAGTGGCATCACTACGTAATTTAAAAACAATTTAACTGTGTTGCAATGAATTCTCAGTATCTCCGTTTGTTACCAATGAAAGGTTGACCTTGGCTATAACTGTATCAATAAAATGGTAAAAGGCAATATACACCGTGTAATTTGGTGATGTTTTTTAAAAATAGTAGTAAGTGTTCCCCTAAATACAATCTAATACAACTTAATCAAATAAATAATCGGGTAATTAGCTTTTTCTAGCTTTTTAAGGTGAAACATGTTGTTTTTGTATAATTTATCGATTTGTTATTTAAACCATATATTTTTCATATCACTATAGTCGCAGGCCCAAACATAAAAAAAAATGTTTTATCGTTTCTAAAAAAATAAAAATTTTTACATGATTTTTTAAATGTTAACTAATATTGATATGTTAATACATTCCTATTTGTAAATACTTTTTTGCTGTTTTAAAAAACGAGCATAATAAAAAATAAATAAAAATATTTATCCGATAAAATGTGTTTTTAAAATAGATTTTATAACTATGTTATTATTTTTTTTCTTACGTGTGGTGTGTAAATTTGCTTAAATAACCTTTCCGTTAAATTATGGGATTTGATAACAATGCATAACCCAATTCTCAACTGAACATGCGCTGAGTGTAACATGTGCAGTTGTTTGCGCTCAGACTAGCTTGTACAGCGGCGAAGTATGAAAATTACTGAAAAAAAAGGGTGAAAAGAAACTGAAGTTTCCCTTAAATTATGGGATTTGACAACAATGCATAGCCGAATTCTCAACTGAGCATGCGCAGAGTCTAACGTATGCAGTTGTTTCCGCTCAGACTAGCTTGTACAGCGGCGAAGTATGAAAATTACTAAAAAAAAAAAGGGGTGAAAAGAAAATAGTTTTCACAACAGTATTTGAAAAAATAAACTTGACACGTGTTTCTAAAGGTTTCTCTGTATTAATATGACCCTCATTCAAAGTTACACCCTGTATATTGCATTTATCAGGAATTAAAATATTTTTTTTATTTTTGCTACCTTTAATTTCATCTACAGATATTCACAATTTTTTTTCACTTAATTGTTTATCGACAACATACCTCATATAATAAAAATACCCAGTACGTCAGCTGTAAGAGCTGCTTTTTTTAAGCAAACACAATATTTTATTATTGCTCCAAACAGCGACCAGGAAAATGTTTAATAAATGTATTAATTTGATACAGTTAAAACAAGATGTTTTTACATTTTTTAGAGATGAACAAACGAAATGAACCGTAATCCACAACCGAAAACTCGGAGCCCCTGTTACCTCGACACTTTATTTACACATTGAAGTGTCAAACTCTAATAATGACTAGAGGGAAAACATGGTTTTTACCTTTTCTTTTTCAATGTTTTAAATAAAATACTTAATATTTAGTTTAAAATTTTATACATAATTATATGTACGTAAAAAAATCGCATTAATATCATAAAAATTATATATAGGGTGTTCCAGTATGGATAAATTAAAGATTAACCACAGGCAAAAAAAAACATAAGAAAATATTTCTTAATTTCTTTTCAACTGGAAGGTTGTGAAATTCTCAAATTTGCATTTGGAAAATTTTCATTGTGTACAAAACAGAATAAAAGAGAACAAATAAGCATAAACAATTAAAACCTAAGAATTTGTGTTATGCGTTATGTAATTGTTATAAAATTAAAAACTGCAAAATATTTTATTTCTTAAAATGACAAAAATTTTATTCCCAAACATTCATGTGAAAAACAGTACAAAATAGCGCCTTGGTATATTAAGAAAATCTCAACTTTTTTCCAGCACTATCTATGGTTAAAGTTTGACTTCTCAGACTGGAACACCTTGTCTTGCATTTGTATAAAAAATTATACCGAGAAGTGTAGATAAAAAAGTCAAACAGGGTAGTTAAGTATCAATTCCCAATTTCAATAAGAAATTTAGCACCAGCAGTCTAAAAACAACTCTACCACACGAAATATAAAAATACTCAGATCTTAAACGATAAAATCGTACGTAATAAAAAACGCTCTAAAAAAACGAGCTACCCTGTACAAAGTCCACTTTTCCGTCAACATCCTCGAAAAAGAAAGCCCACTCTTCAGAAAACCAAGTCAGATTATATCACTAGAATGGCTCTTATCATCACGGTCCTTAAAGAAACCCTTTTCAGTCTTGCATTCCCGAATGGTCACCGTTTTCAGATTGACTGTGACGTCAGTAATGAAAACCTGATCTGCCACGGGATTTCTCGCTAACCAATATTCAGACCCGGGACTTGTAAGAACTGGCACTTCACTCGCAACGTTATTATTATTATGTCCATTTACCGATACGGGTTTCTCGTCAGAGCAACCGTTCTCCGGTTTAACGTCCGCTTTCTTGTCTAACCTCTTATCGTCTGTGCGCGATGCCACTGGTTTAGGAGAAGCAGGTTCTTTTGTGGACGAATGTGGGAGAGTTGCGTCTGTGGGAATCAGCCTCTTGTCGGTACTCGTCCTTGGGGCGGTTGCTGTCAATGCAGCAGGGCTCGAAGCTGAAGGAATCGCAGATGTTTCCTCTTCCGATTTGGTGGACTGGTGGCCATTGGATCTGACCGAGGAGGATTGTTGCTTTGATGATAGTTTCGGAGCCTGAAAGTCAATATTGGAAAATATGATTGAGTCATTTTTACCCAATTTAATAGTCACTGATTTTAATCCATTTATTTTTAATTTAAAACATCATTTTCAAAGAAAATTTTATATCAGAAATTACAACATAATTTAAAAATGAAAAGTAAATTATTCAATTTCAAATAGTTATAATTTGTACAGGGCATAATTAAAATGCTTGGCCAAACTTTAATAGAGGATTCTAGATCATAAATTAATAAAAAAAAGGTTGTGTTTACACCCTATATAGACAGTCATAATTGAAACAAAAAATTGCCTTTTGCAGTCGCTAATTTGTTTCTTATATGAAGGAAATATTTTCTTGCCTTATGTAGAAAGATCTAATCCAATATAACCGAAATCATCAGAAATAAATTTTATCAGCTATGAATAGAGATACATATCTTCGATTTTACATATTTTTATTTTTATATGGGGTGTTCAAGAAATTTGCTTTTATAATTGAAGGAGTGATTCACGTACGGAAGGAGATAAAAAAAAATTTAGTTGAACATAGTCCTTAAATACTTCAGCCGTTCTGGGATATAATATTAAATCTCTCAAATTCTATAACTCCTAGGTATAGGAAATATTGTATATAGTGACCCTAAAATTTAAAGTAGAATCTAAAAATGCAATAATATACAGGGTATTTCATTTAAAATAACAAAGTTGGTGGCAACTCCGGTACAAGCAGAAGTGCAGCAGTTTTGAAAATATTTTCATTGAAAAGTTCATAGCCGGTAACCTGGGTTTTAAAATTTTCAAGAAAACCCTGTCAAGGTAACTTCGTATCCTTCTAATGAACCAGTTATGTGAATAACCCTGTATATTATATTAAAAAATCTGATAATTTAAATGATTTTACACAAAACTTTATACAGTAGAACCTCGCTAATCCGCCCTCGGATGGTCCGACTCTCTGCTTAATCCGACCATCCCATTTCCGGTGGTTGTGTACCTACTTTACCTACATGGGCCGCCGCTAGAGTCAGGTCTTGACATGACTGATCATTAACATTGTTTCTTTCATGTTTTATTATTGTTTTAACATGGAACAATATTCCAGACAGAACAGTATTTCCAATTGAAAATGAAAGTTGTACATTAGCGAGGTTCTACTGTATAATAAAAATTTACTACCCCCGCACCACAATTACAACATTCATCGTTCAACTATCCAATTTTCCCTCCGACACTTGATTCTCAATTCCCAGTTCTCGGATCATTCGATTCTTAAAAGTATATAGGAACAAAGCACTTGATTCTTAAAAATGATCAGTTCTGTCTATCACTAATATATAGTGACTTAATTGTTATTCAATGGTATCAATAATTATAGTATTTTTTAACTGCGATTTCGTAAACATGATATGAATTAAACACTGTGATTGGTTATTTTAAAAATTAGACAAGGCTATTATTTGAACATGATTCCAAATCACAGTGCAAAAGAATTACATTAAAAATTTTGATTCATTTATACTATTTTGGCAGTTTTGATATTTATTTTTATCTATACTGAGTGTAACCTAAAAGTTGGGAATAAATTAAACGGTGGATTTTTTTAATTAAAAAATATTTTTTTCTCATATGAAGTTACGCTCTACGGGTTTTATTTTCCAAGCTACAGGGCACTAAAAATTTTCCAAAAATTTAGTTTTTTGAAACTAATCTTTATTTTATATTCAGACATCCATGTGAATTAAATAAATAACTTTCTTATGTTAATAAGCAACTTATAGTATGAATGAAATATATAAATATCAAAAATTTATCACAGATGTCTTGCTCGATGGACATTTTGTAAGTGTTACTACATTTTATTTTGATTGATTTTTTTATTCTAAAAGTTGGTATAGCTTTATGTTTTGCCAAAAATAGAGGTGGGCAAAACAGTTTAATTGCAAGATCGGAGTCACTGAATCTGAATCATATTTCTGAATGGGTTCATTGAATAGGTTCAATTATGCCGTAATTGGGAGACCGAACAAATTGATGATGAATCGTGTCATTTCGTTTTTAGAGTCTTTGTATCCCGAATCTCAGTGTTGCCTTTTTTTATTCTCGATTCTCTGCATCATGACGCCTTCAAAATTTACTGTTTGGATTAAAAAAAGAACTCTCATGTTCTGTAAGTATTCATATGAAGTAGCTAGCAGTAATTAGTAATTAGCTATTTATAGTAACCGCAATATATAAAAATATTTTTGTTAATATTCTTTTGATAATGCCAATTTCTAAAACTTTATAAGTCTGTATAGCAATGATAGATAGTTTTTCAAAATGAACGACTCACTGATTATGGCTCTGATTCAGTTAAGAATGATTCAGAGCCAGAACACGACTTACGATTTAGTTAATTTCGTTCACAAGTGAGATAATAAACAATAATAAAAATAATAAAATGGCTTTATTTCTAATCCGGATCTTTTGAATAAGTCGTTCGCCAGTGATTCAGCTCTAACCAATTGATCAATATACCTCATGGAGAATGGTATAAAAAAAAAATAGCAAACTGGACAATTACTTGTACAATTTCTTGGGTGAAATGTAAAACAAGTAAAAATACAAAAAATTGTGGCAAATTTCTTAGCCTTAAGAAATAATTGGAATCAATAGAATGAGCTCTAATTTATTTATCAATTTGAAGGATTTCAGTGACTTAATTTTCTTTTAAAAGAAACAATTTTACTTATATTCTGCTATTTTGGTACATCTGTTTATTTTGGATATTTAAAATATAGGTTGACAATAAGTATACATTTTGTATTGCAGATGCATTTGTTTTACATATTTTATAAGGTTATGTCTCACATGGTTTTAGTTTACTACTTATTATAGATTTTTGTTCTAAAAGTTTGTAGCCTTAAATTTAGCCAATAAATTGGCCAATTTATTTTGACATGAAAAACAGTATCACAAAAATTTTAACAATTTCTCAAACAGTTGTGTTAAAAATTAGTAGTAAATATTTATTTGATTATAATTCCTATGGAAATCATATTGGACTTGTAACAAATTTATAGTAAACTTTCTAAAAAAAGGCCTACCTTAGCTGGTGGTGGACTGGAACTAGTTGGACTAGTCGTAATGGTAACTCCGATTTTGCCACTCTCCTTGGACAATACAGCTGCTTTCCTCTTAGTTCCTATGTCGATCCGAGATATTAAAGGTATCTTATCCTCACTACTGGAGCTATTTGAGTTTTCATTATCTGCCGTCGACACTGTCGGCACAGAAGCACTTGAAGTTTCCTCCGAGCCTACAATATGAGGAAATCGATAATATCAATTAAGTTATATATAATAGAAAATCTAAAGCACCTGCTCGGGTTTCTTCATCGTCTACATTGGCTGTATTTTCGTGCTTCAGTTTAGACTTAGTGCTAGTCTCCGGTGTTTCGTCCTGACTCTCTTCCCCACTTCTGACGCCTTCATCTTCAGTGTCTACAGTCACCGGTGCAGCATGTCTCTCTTTTTTCTTCGGACCTCTTTTTGAAGTGCCATCAGACTTCTGAGATTGTTCATAGAGGTCAATCAAACGAACATCTAGGATATTTTCTTCGGGTTCCCAAGTGTTATATCGGGGACTCCAGCCTTTCCATTTAACGTAATACTCTACAACGCCCTACAAAAATTGTTTATATACATTTTTTTTTAAACAATTACATAGGTAATTCAAATTAATTGAACAAAGAGTTTTCTACATTGAAAATTCAAAATATACATAAAAGTTCTTATTACTTAAGAACAGAATAATCATTTTTATTAGGATCTTATTTTAAATTATATATAAAAAAGGTAAAGTGAAGCATAAAAAACTAACAACTCATAATATCCATCCCCTAATACCCCTATAAATTATGTAAATTCCAAATTAATTAGTGGTGAAAATATACACGATATATTATGGTAGGGTTGTATATAAATACAAGGGTTGTTAATATGGGGAAAATACTCGACTAAACTCGTTGAAATATATGCGTTAAACATACAATATAGAATCCTTTACCTTTCGAACTCGTTTTTTCATAATCTTTTCGGCGGCATAAACACGATCTCCTAGTTGCTCCATTGTTATTGTGTTTCCCTGGCACCCTTGATAAAAAGAAATACCTACACTGAGTTACGTCACTGGATTATTTATAACACTGAGAACTGTATCTTCTTGTCTTATTTGCATTTTTGACAAGAATTAAAATTTATCAAAATACACAACACACACCGACCTGTCGTCTGTTGTCTGTTTTCTTCACGGAAATGTACTTATTTATTACTGGTACAGGGATGTTTTTGGTACTAGTGTTGGATGCACTGAAGACTTAATAAAAGTAATATTAGTAACTTCTTATTTATTTTCCCAATGTAGTTAAATAGATTTGGAAACCAGTAGCAGTTTTAAAATAAGTTATTGTTGTTTTTAGACCTGAGATTTAATAATAAATTATTTATAAAACTGGTTTAGAAGATTCTCGCTTTCACTCTTTAATAGCGACCTTACCTGGTGATAGACTGATAGACTCGCTCAAAGCGTACGACTTTCCTCAGTCCTCAAGTCTCTCTCTTACTTCTGTAAAATATCAGATTACCTATCAGAAGAATGCATCCCTAAAACTCTAGATAATACATCCAGAACATAGATAAATATAGATACTTTATGATCCAGAATGTACTTGAAACTCTGTAATGAAATTAAATATCCCTATTTGGGTATACAATTTTATCTTAATGTATTTTGATAACTAGTTTTCTTTAATCCTGAATTAAAGAAGCGAAATCATTTACATAGATATTAATCTACATCACAAAACAGATAAAAGATCTACATGTTACAACATTACCACTAGTATCATTTATCTAGGATTACCACAGAATATCCCTATAGTTGGCATATTATTCTCTGACATTGACATTACCTACATGACAAAAGTATCGTAGTTACCACCCTATACAGGGTGTCCGGAAAAGTCATGTTAATAATTAAGGGGTATACAGAGGTCATAATGGATGTACTTATAGTACTCTTTATACATATAAATTTTTTTCATATCGCACTTCGTTGTGGTTACTTATTCGAAGTTTGAAAAACAAATTCCAATTATAACTTCTAAGAAGTCGTTACCATCATGACAACAATAATGAAATTTGCATTCATGGTAATGTTGATTTCCAAGTTTAAACTGATATTTCTGGTTGCATAAATTAAAAAAAATAATAATACTTCCTTAAGTATAGTCTTTCCCATCTAAGACACATGATATGTGGCATTTACAATTAATATATATGTATATAGGTTATCGTACATGATCAATAATAAATAATTTCAATAGTAATTTTCTATAATACCTATAACAAATTATGTGGCAAAATCTATATAGGGAAATAAAAATTAAATACTGTTTTTGGTAAACACAGAATGGCTGGACCGATTTGGCTATTTTTTTAAATGTTTGTAATGGTCTGAATAAGATTTTTAGGAAAGAAAAATTCGGGAATAGCCACTGATGCGAAGCGTGGCAGGGTTCAAAAGTCACTGTGGGTTCAACTAGTCTATATAAACAAAAATTGCTGTTCGTTGGTAAATAAGTGCTCACATGAGAACGGCTGGACCTATAGGAGCAAAGTATTTTCTTTACTCGTAGGGCTGGACTGAAATGTTGGTATATAACTGTTTGAATAAGGTTTTTAGGGAAAGAAAAAGTGGAAAATTTGGGAAAATTTATTGAAATTTGAACAGGTCAACGTCTGTCGTGTCAGCTAGTATAAAATTTCTAGCGGCGTCAAGAAAGCAATCAAACACATTTCCTTTATTTTGTCTTGCACTGAAAGAAAGAAATAGCATACATAGAATTTAGAATTTGAATTTCTAACAATAAGTTATATATTTTATGGTTTATGTCATGATAGACCAAAAACGTTGACTGAAATATTTGCAGTTTTCCAAAGTGGCGTTAGATGGCACTATCGTTATCTATCCTCTACAATCACTATATAGATACGTCACTAGATAACATCTAGTGACTGACTGTACTATCCTCCCTGGCCGGTAATCTCAAATGCTGAAGATCATTTGACTATATATTAGTTAATAGTTATTATTTCCTCACTTCTAATATGAAGTCTGTGTATTTCCTCCACCTTCACTGGTGCTATAATCGCAAAATATGGGGATTGTTACTTTACTCAGTTGGTTTTTGTTTGGGATTGGTATTGCTTTCGCTGAATTTTATTCACGTTATCTGTCGTTGTCCATGTCCTTTGTCGTTATGTCATTTCATTTGTCGTTTATTTCGTTGTCAAGTGTACAAATGTAACAAAAAGTGCGCGTTTGTAACATTTTCGAGTTTCTTATTAATTACTCTATTTTTTAACATGTTGACTAATATATTTTTTTGGTTAAATCAGATTTAATTTACTACTCCGTTTTACCGAATCTCAAAGGTGTCAACAGAAAAATGGTAAGATAGATTAACTGATAAATGTAAACATGGTATAAGTTCCGAGAATTATTATTCGTTTGTAATTGTTTTTCTCGTAATAAAAATAATTATTACAGGAGCGATTAATGGAAGATGCCAATAATGTGAAAAATTTGCTACCATGGATCGATTCTAACGAAGATATAATTAATTTTATGAGAAAAATACCGCTGGATAAAAGTCATATACGAAATCAATTGACCTTATGTTACTTTCTGAAAAAGAGGGATTGTCATTCAAATAATTTTGAAAAAGAAATTGAAGATGATGCAAGAGAAATTGTTATAGTAATGCCTGATATATCATATAAAGAAATTAAAGAAAAACTTAGTATATTAGGCAACACACCCAATCGAAAAGAAATAGTGATAAGACAGCTTATTCATAAGAAGCATGATTTGGATAAAATTTTAAAAGAAATCACTGTTAGTACAGTGAAGAAGAGAAAATCAGATTCTTCCAATGACATATTTGAGTTGGATTCTAACGAGGGTCATACTAATATTAACATTAAGATACGAAAGGTTGGCTCAGTAGCTGGTTCTTTTGAAGTGGTCTCAAGAATCTCCAGTCAGGATCAACTTAGAACACCAAAGGTTAGATTAGTCGCAAGTTTGTTTTCTTTATAACTAATTAATTATAATGGCGGTTTTCTACTAAACGGACAGTTGAGTTTATGTTGTATTTGTGTTTTCTAGAACCTGAAAAACAAAAACAAAACTGAAACAAATCCAAAACTCTTATTTCCATCAATCGGGCTACATTTTGCTCGAGTTTTGTTTTTGTTTTCGGTCCTTTCCCACTGGTTGTCGCAAGGAAGTTAAAACATATTTTTTCAATAACCAACATGTTTAGAGAAGATTTTTTATTCTTAGTTGTGGCTGGTTTATACTGGAAAAAAAGTAAGTGTATATATGTAGGGTTAAAGTGTTTACTTGGTTAATTAGTTTGTATACTATCGAAATATAAAGCGAATATAGAAAACACAACACAACCGTTTCCACTAACCAGACTCTAGTTTCAAAATACGTTGAAACCTTTTGATGTGACCGCTTCCGAGCAGGACCCAAAAAACGACACTCCAACTGTCGCAAAAGACGTCAATCTTCAAAAAGTTTGCAAAAAGTTAGTTTTGTTTTATTCGACACAAGTTTGTGTTTTGTTTTTGTTTTGCCCGTTTAGTAGGAAACCGTTTTAAGGAGGTTCGATATATCTCTTGCGGAGCAGGCGGTGCAGGAGGGAAGTTTATGCTTATACACGGCGAACTAAATATAATATATGCGAATGAAATTTATACAACACTTATTAACTCGCATATATTTTTCGTGATTAATGCATGGCAATTAACTTTTTATTTGAATAAAAGTGTCTATTTATTCATTAAGAGCTTGTAAAACTATAGGTGAAATCTGGCAACATTGCACATCAATATGGCGTGGTGGTCAAGTGTCAATTGTGCTTAGTGCGTATTGTATACCGTAAACATGAATGAACCTCCAAGATACAAAGGAAAAGTAATGACTGCAAAGCAATATAAAAGGCGTATGAAACAGATAGAATGTGGATTGATGAGAAAAAAGTAAAATGTGCAAACCGAGAATCCATATGATAACTATCAAAAAGCTCAGTGTATGGTAGTGAGACGTCGCCTTGTCAAATTGAAGATTATGACGGAACCTAGCCCTAATAGCAATTTTTGTTTCAAATTGCTATTAGGTATATTGCATTAGATAATGAAAAATTTATTTAATATTGATTATTACTACATATGTTTGCGACTGGAATAATTTTATAGTCTATAATCAAGCTATTCAAATATAGCGCCTCAGTCGAAGCATAAATACAGTGTATAGCGTTGCCATATTTCTTTTCATTGGATCAGATGTTTGTTCAAATTTGTCAAAATGTTACCTATTTATTCCATTATCTCAATAATTACATTGTAAGTGCATATTTTTATTGTTTTAAAATGTTTAGTAAGATTTAATTGTTTGGTTATGATTTCATTTTCCCGATCCTAACCATTTTTAAGAGCAATATTCACGTTTGATTAAAGTTTTTTCCCCAACTCCCATAAGAGCCTGTGTATAAGAACATAATTTTTAATATTTTTAAACAAACTATGTTGTCAATCGATCTGATATTTTTACACGAGGCAGTTTGCATATTTCTTAACGGATTACAATTGCTTTGAAAACTTTCTTACCATTTTCTTTTCGGTATCGAACCTCCTTAAGGATGGTTCATGATTAATTTTACAAGTACCTATTTATTAATATTTTTATATTAAAATGTGTGATAAAGAAATATTCCTGTTTAAAATTAGTGGTACATTTTTAAAGTAAGAACTATTTAACTCTTTTTTATAGAACAGATTTTTATGAGCTGCATATTTTTTGCTGGTCTTTTATGTAGATAATTTTAAATTCTTTCTAGAATTTCATTGTAGTTTGTGTGTAGTTTGGTGAAGGTGGAGAGGTAATAAATTTTTTAAATAAAATTTGAAGTGTGTTATAGAAATTTGATTTGGCTCTAACATTAAAAAACCTTAAGAGTTATTCAAAATAGTTTCTTAAAAAAATATGTAACAATAACGAAATTTATACTTAATATGTCAGAATTTGTAGTACTGAATCTTAATTTAATTCTTTAATAGTATTTAAGTATCTATTTAAATGTTAAAAAAAAAATTTACAAATGCACCATACTTTAATCTAATTAAATAATAGGACTTCTTTTGGCCACATTAATAGCATTGTTTTTAGAACAATACAAAACAGTTTTCAACAGTCAAACATGTGCATTCCTTTATAATGTTTACATAAGGTTCAAAATTCATTGTTTTGAATCACATGTGTTTAACTGTTGGAAACTGTTTTTAATGCACTAGGAACAAAGCCATTAATTAGTTAAAAATTAAGTTCTGTTTTCCTGGATATAATATTTATAGCTTTCCCCTTAAAGACGTCAGAAGTCTGTTTAAAATATATTCATAAGCACTAATCCTCAATTCTTCTTTAAAATTATGGTGATATTTGACTTCAAAAAGCTCCAAATAGTAAAATCTGATGTATTTAAGTCTGGTGAATCAGTGCATGTGGAAAATGTTGGTGTAACCCCCTTCTAATTACCCTTGTGGTGCCCCATCGTATATGAATAACAAGTCGTTGCGTATTTTTGTCACTTGAAGAAAGTGATGTTCTCAAAAGTTCAGGTATATGTTATCCAAATTTCCTGGTAAATTCATGCTTTTCTCAATTTAAACACCATTTCATCGTAACATCATCTAAAATACTCCATAAAACATTATAAAACTTTTTTGGCAAAGAACCAGTCACCTCACAATCCGTTGTACCGCCAGTAGGGTGTTTCAGTTAGAATGAATCAAACTTTAACCACAACTCGATAAAAAATTCAGAATTGCCTTATAAAGCAAGGGTCTAAGTCTCACCGTTTTCACTGTACAGGGTTGTTAAAATCATATTTACGAAATCTTTGGTATGCTTATAACAAATTGATTGAAATTTGGTGTGGTGTTAACATTTGCACATGTACATAATTTACTGTAAATTTTGCAAATTTTTGTAGGGTCAGTGGCGTATGAATGGGTATTAAAGTGAGATTTTTTTACCCCAACTTCTACGCCAATGACCTAATAATCATTTGAGATAAATTTTTAGATATCGTGGACAATTCTACATAAAAAATGTATACTTGTTGAAAATCTGTATAGGGTATTATTTTACCGAAAATCTCAGTTGAATGGGAGACCGTTTTTCTGATAAGAAATTTAGTTTCTTAAGGATTAAATTAATATTATAATGTCACGCATTAACTTCAAAACAATATTACATAATATGTCTTTACATCGGCGAAACGACTGGTAAATTCTAAATATAATCTCTTGAGTAGTATTATTTATTGCATTCGTAATGTAGTAAATTCCCCCTTTGAGCTCATTTTTCTGATGCGCTACAGTGTGGTGGATAGCATATTCAATATCACTTCCTCTAAAATTTCATTTGTGCCATTCTGAAGCAATTACAGGTATCCTTGCTCATTCAACGGTCCGTTTGTTTCAAACAGATATAATTTCTTTAAAAAATTTCACCTACATATTAATTTTAAATCTGCGCTGTGCGTCCATTACACTATCCGTACTAATGATTGCCATGAAAAAACAACTAAGCAATAATAGACTTATCTGTCAATAGGAACTGTCATTTTATTTTTAAGATTTGAAATATTGGTTAGTGTTTGTAAAAAAATGGATGAATTGTTCAAGTCTTATCAGATGAACTGTCTCCCATTCAAGTGAGATTTTCAGTAAAACGATACACTATACCGATTTTCAACAAGTTTCCACGGAATGTAAAAATGACTCCCAAATGATTATTAGGTCATTGGCATAGAAATTGGGGTAAAAAATTCCACTTTACTACCCATTCCTACACCACTGACCTACAAAAATTTGAATCAATTGGTTATAAGCATACCAAAGATTTCGTAAATAATATGATTTTAATAACCCACCAATACTGCCCTGTATACTGAAAATGGTGAGACTTAGACCCTTGTTTTATAAGGCAATTCTGAATTATTTATTGAGTTCTATTTGTGATTAAAGTTTGATTCACTCAAAATGAAACACCCTTATAAACAACTGTCATAAATTAACATTTTATGCAACAGATAGAGCAATATACTGGGTGTAACGTAAAGGTTGGGAATAAATTAAACGGTGGATTATTTGGTTTAAAAAATAATTTTTTCTCATATGAAGTTATGTTCTACGGGTTTTCTTTTCCAAGCTACAGGGCGCTAAAGAGTTTCAAAAAATTTAGTTTTTCTCCAATAAATTTCGAACATTATAAGATAATGGAACGAAATTTTAGCCTTAGCTTAATTTGATAATCCCCTAGTTACAGGAAAAAAATTGACTTTGTAAGTTGCTCAGTGGCGCGCGTACGGATTGTACCATAAGATTTTTCGAAGAAAATTGTGGTACGCCACTGGTAAAAACATCTTTTTAATATTTGTTTATGATCTACTTTTTATTTTAAACAAAATTATCCTCTTGTGTTTTATTTCTAGCTCTTGTAATTTTTCCGTAAATAAAACTTTTGTAAATACCATTTTATCCCACTGCTAACAGAGGAATATAAAAATAACAAAAGCATTATGAAGTATGCTTTGACTTAGCCACCTAACATGGTCAAATAGGCATTGAAAAAAGATTTTTGCATTGAAAATGATATTAAAAAACTAAATTTTTTGAAATTTTTTAACACCCTGTAGATTGGAAAAGAAAACCCTTAGAGCATAATTTTATATGACAAATATTTATTTTTTAAAATAAAAAATCCACTGTTTAATTTATTCCCAACCTTTATGATACACCCTATATATTTAATGATATCATGGATGCCAAAAATAAATATGCATTCTTTTAATTTATAGTGTTAAGGATTTACTATTATTAAATTTAATATCCTCTAATTGTCGAGAACCAGCAATGGCCAAAATCGTCCTTATTTTTTGTTACATTAGTACAATAATAGCTCAAATTATGATATGCTTGATTTGTCCAGTCATTATTTTCTATTAAAATCATAATACTCAAGTTTTATTCTTTTTTTTTTTTTCAGTAAAACTGTAGATGTAGATGTAGATTTACGCCTACATTTTCTTTAATACATGTAGTTAACAAGAAAAACAGACAATGCATTATTTAAATATCTAGACTTTTACACTTATTTTTAGGTATTCAATGTTGTGGATAAAGAAATAGAGGAACCGACTACATCAGTTACGAGTAGCACAAGTCATTCGCCGAATAGTTCACCGGACAGTACGGTCCCCTCAACTACTACAGAAGCAGATGATCCATATCCAGGTAAAAGTTGGTTCAATACGTCCGTTGTTTAAATTAATGTATTTCTTTTTAGAACTGACTGATATTATAAGTGATGTAAATACCTTAGAATCTGAAATGCTAAAGAGGAAGGCCCCAGTCAACAGTAAGAAAGATATTTTTTTCACATTTGAGAGTTTTCATCCTTGAAATAATGATTTATGACAGTCATTGAAATCGGAATAAACGAAGGGTGTCTCTTAAGTAACACAGAATTTGAATTTCCCGCCATTTTCATTCCGAAGAGTTGGCAGGATTGTGCAGGGTCACATGTTGTAGTAAACAAGTTGTGGTTAGACAAAATGGAACGCTATATGACGAATGAGGGAGTGAAAATTATGAAAATTCATTACAAGTACGGAGAGTGTGTAGCTGAGACTGTTTGCAGGTTCCGTGGAAGTTTGGATAGAAGGAACGCCCCAAACGAAACAGCTGTGAAAACATTAGTTGCCAAATTTGAACAAACATGTTCGGTTGCAGACAATCAAAAAACAGGCCGGCCTCATACTGGCAAAAATTCCCATAACCCTAGTGCGCCATCAGTCACTGCAATTAAACTTTTCAAAAAGCACAATATAGCGTATTTTAACAAAAGATCTGCATCTGCATCCATTCAAGATTCAGCTAACCCAAGAATTGAAACTAGACTATTTAATACGCCAGACATTTGTTGATCGGATGTTGGAGAATCAACAAGTAGACTGTGATTTTGATAAGAAAATATCTTCAGTGACAAGGCGCATTTCCATCTTGGTGGATATGTGAACAAGCAAAACTGTCGAATTTGGGGCAGAGGCAATCCTTGGGTCTTTCAAGAATAACCACTATATACCCAAAGAGTCATAGTCTGATGTGGATTTTACGCTGGTATAGCGTTCCATTTTGCCTAAACGCAACGTGTTTACCACAGTATATGATCTTACACAATGCTGCCAACTCTGGAATGAAAATGGCGTGCAATTCAAATCTTGCGTTACTTTTGGGTTGCTATTTATATTTTGTTACTAAGCCAATGTTTCATTTACTTAACATAAACATCTTCAGGGCACAGAGGAACATGTTAGTGAAGAATTTATTTTGCTAAAAATCTCCCAAAGTGCAATACTTATGAAAACAACAGCAGGTTTTCAACCAAAATAAAACTTACTTAAAAGAAGTTTGCGCGATAGAAAATTTCTAAAATTGGCACAAAATACAGAGAAAGAAACATATTTAAACAATATAAAATTAGTTGCAAGTAGTCTTAACTAGAAATCTTTGACCTGTCCTTGTTGTTCTCAGGCTAGGCTCTGATGTTCCTATAGGTTCTTATCGTTGGTACTACGGAACTGCTCCACAGAGAATTGTGGTCCTTTGAGAATACCGCAGTGACCTTTGTAACTGGTCGCGGTCAAATGTTTCACCATTCTTCACTTTCAGCATCTTAGTGGTGACTACAAAAGCCTCATTGTGGCTGAGACAGAGAGGTTACTGCATAACATGTCAGAGGACCATCATTATTTGACAAGCGAACTTAGAACCAACAATAAGGACCAATATTAACATCAGGGTTAATAGGGTTAATTGTTAATATTATTCGAGGGCATCATAACAGAGGGGCGTATGAACCTAAATCATGAAAATTGTATTTTCGGGCGTATGAGCATAGTTCCTTAGTCAGGCGTATCAGTATCTACAATAATTTAAATTTTATTGGTGTTATTATGTTGGGTGTATGAACATCTTACATCTTCTGAACATCACATAGAGGCGTATGAACATACGCCTGTTATAAATTGTAATTTGGTTCATACGCCCCTTTGTTATGAAGCCCCTTTGTTCTGTAGGGCCTGGGATTGCTGCGAGTACGGCTACACTCAATAGCGTCTCTAATTTACCTTCAAATCCTAATGAAAATGTGACTGAAAAACCCACTGATGGAAATGACACCCAATCTACTAAAAATAAAGCCGGTAATTTTTCTTAGTTGACCGATTTGATGAAATAATTTTCTCAATTTTTCACGTTTGTAGAGGAAGAACCGAAATTTAATTTGATTGATTTTGTAAAAGAACTGTCGCTGGCGTCAGAGTATAGGATATATCAATTGTGTAAACAAATGGGATTGAATATGAATAAAAGACCTAGAGAGGACCAATTGAATGTATTACTAAACAAATTGTTGGATGATGTCGTTGAGATTAAATCGGCTGAATCTAGCGATTCCGACTCTGAGACTCAGGAATACGACTATACTGGTAAGGACTTTGTAGTATGTGGTATGTATGTTGTAAAACATAAATATTGTGTAATATGTTAATGTACTAGACCTTAAGGAGTAACGCCACTCTAGAGGTTGGAAAAAAGGTGATTTATGGGAATTTTCAAGAAAAAAATCAATACAAGATATAATGTCAGGAACTAAAAAGTTTTTTTATTATTATGTTTTCAGGTAATATTGTGATTTTTTTTAAAGCATTTGGATTCAAAATGGCGGTTATGGGTAATGGCAAGCAACCACATCTGGCTGTATAGCCAGAAGGGTTTCTTATTAACGCATGGTCTTGGAACAAGAAACAAAATTCTTCTGATATTATTTACCAAAAAGCTAGGGAACATCGTAGGGAAATTAAAAATTTAATTTAATTGATTTAGTGAACATTCAAAAAAAATATTGAAAAACCCCTATAATATTCCCTGAGTTATGTACAAAATTTCAAGTTGATCAGTCGAAAACTTCTTGAGTTATGTTTCCAGCCAGTTAAAGAAAGGTGGTTTCTTGAAAAATGCTTTTAAAAGTTTTTGTTGCCATTCAAGATAAGAAGTTCGTTGCATACCTTCAACCAATGATGCCTACACCATGTAATTAATATTTTCTTAATCCTCTTCTTTTTGGCTTGATCAGAGATTCAATCTGGCTTCTATAATAACTATCACGTGTGTTCTCATGAGTTTTAATAAGCATTCCTGCATTGCGCTGCAAGTTGTTGGGCTCCACCTCGAAAAAAAACCACGTTCCTCGATTTTTTCCTCGCCTAAAACTGTTTTTCCATTATTCACATAATAAACCATCGTTTAAACTTAAACCATTTATCCAAGTATCGATTTTTTCTAAATTCTAGAGCGGCTTTACCCCTTGATCAAATACTTATTAAGTAGTTGCTTTGTTTTTACTATGAAAATTATTAAATTTATACAACACATCAAAATTAGAAGACTGTTTAAAATGGGCCTGGTTAATCTGATATTAATATATTTTTTTAATAGTATCTTGTAATGTCTAATTACATAAGTTTATAGCCTGAAATTATTTACTTGTGGCAGTTTTAAATTCTCTTGTTTGTTTGTTATTTTTATTAAATTATTTTCGCCTAACCAAAAATCTCGTACTCAAAAATAGGATATACAGGGTGTCCCGAAATTCATGCAACAAAATTTGGTCACAGATTCTTAAGACAAATTTAGGGGACCCGTATTTTTTATTTTTGCCAAGTAGCCCCCTCTTTCGGAGTTACAGCCCCCTGAAGTCCGCCCCTAAGAATAATCTTTTTTTTATATCTCAGAACCCTGTTGTACGAGAATCACTAAATTTGGTACACAGGGGTTTTATGACATGTGGAGTCTGATGGTGCTACGTTTTTTGGCAGAGAGCCCCCTTAAGACAATTTTTCGTGGGCCCCCTTGTCTTTGAAGCCAAAAAAATTTGGTCGCATATTTAAATTTCTTAAAAATTATCAGTCCACTAGAAAGCCATTAAATTTAGAAACCTTTTGTCTCTATACTTTTTACGTAAAACGTAGGTAATGTTTTGGAGAAAAATGTCAAAATGTGATCGAATGCATATCGTGATTCGCCTTTTTCCTCAAAAACATTGCCTTTTACGAAACATATATCAACAGATAAAAAAGTTTCTAAATTCAATGACTTTTTAGCAAACTAATAATTAAAAAAAAAATTTAATTTGCAACCTAATTTTTCTGGTTCCAAATACAAGGGGGCCCATGAAAAAGTGTCTTAAGGGGGTTTCTCGCCAAAAAGGGTGGCACTGTGAGATTCCAAATGTCATAAAACCCCTGTGTACCAAATTTAGTGATTTTCGTACAACATGGTTTTGATAATATAAAAAAGGGGCAGATTTCAGGGGGCTGTAACTTCGAAAAAGGGGGCCTGTTGGCAGAAAGAAAAAATACGGGTCCCCTAAATTTGTCTTAAGAATCTATGACCGAATTTTGTTGCATGAATTTTGAGACACCCTGTAGTGTATTCAATATTTAAAAAAAAATGGTAAATATGTATTAACCCTTTCACTGCTCCAGACGGATAAATTGGCATGAATAGTTTAATTGGATCAGGCTGCTCAAACCGTATATATTCGCAACCGTGCGCATAGTGACTCGGTTATTGCAATTGGTAAGGCGAATTTTTGCGGGCGAGCTTATACCGATTGTGACAAATATTTTTATGGAAAGAGGTACTGGTAATAGTACCAAGATTGTTCATGTTTCTTTCAGTTTCTATTTAGTACATATACTGTATTTTATACAAAATAAAATCGTAAAATTTATCGTAAATCGTAATTTAACACAACATAATGTAAAACTATAAGTGGTCTAACTGCTCCATACGTATATATTCGCACGCGATAAACAATCGCGCACGGCGCGGTAGCTACGTTCAGACGTATTGCGCAGCGAAAGGGTTAACATAGAGAAGAATAAAACCATGTATATATTTTCAGAAGGTATTTGAAATAATTTACAAATGTTTATTTTTTTTTGTATGTGTAATAATAATAATTATGGAATACATGTGTGTGATTTGTATTTTAATCTAGTTATGGTAACCTATTCTCTGTGTAAGGAGATAATAATGTATCAACTCACTCAGAGGATAACCGAAATAATAAAAATATTTGCTTTAGTGACGTTACTGGCAATAAGATATAAATTAATAATTTAAGAAGATTGTCAAAATCAGATAAAAAAAATCAGTTTTGAAAATGTCGTCCATTTTGAGCAGTGTGTTAATTTTGATTGAAGTGCGCTTATATTATCTAATACACCTTCTTTTTTTTAGATATGCTGACTGGGTAAATATATTTAACTATTATATTTTGTTATGGGAAGAGAGAGCTCTAACTAGAATGTCTTCACATACGTAATCGATTAAGAATCTAACAAAATCACAGTATAATTTTCAATATCTCCCTAAATGAATGTTCTGTGTAATTATTAATTCAATAATTTTTTAGAGTATTTCAGTACGATGTCCCGAATAAAAAAAATAGGATTGATACCACTGATAAATCGTCTAACAGTAGAGACTTTCAATTAAGGGAACCCGTTTTTATTTTACCACCGGGTGGCAGAAACTCTGTCGACGCTCCTAAACAAACAACTTCTACCCAAATAAGCACATCCGTTATCCAACCGGCTCGTTTTAATCCCAGCTCTTCTAGAGAAAACACAATTCCTGCTTTACAGAGAAGAGCAAGTCCAGAGGTGGGGCATAATGAGCCTATGCCGATCATCAATGAAGAACCTATAGTCATTGATAATGCTGCACCAGGGTAAGAATACCATTGTTTTTTATGCTGACATTATATTTCTGTGAGGTAACAATTCCTTTGCAGACCCTCGGGAGGGCCAGGCAATATGATAATAGACTCAAGTGATACAAACAGTGAAGATATGGCCATTAATTTAACTACTAATAATAAGGTTAATGAGCCAGCCGTAGTCATGCAACCCATCAATGAACCTGTAGCGGGACCATCAAATGCCTGCGCGCAAAGGAGCAAAGTGCTGGATAACAACCTTGTCTTCAAACTGATGGAAATGTTCCCTGAGGCGCATCCAGATTATATCAAGAATATTTGTGATGGGAAGAAATTGGCCCATCTTGATCATGTCCTCACTGTGATACTTTCAGGTATGAAATTTTATCGGTTCTTCATTTTTTTTTTACAGTGCAAGTAACGTTTGTTATCTCTCTTTTTAAGTAATGAGTTGGGGAGTAAGTAACGTCCGTTTTTTTCAAGTATAAAAATCACATGAAAATTAGACATTTTCAAATTGACACGTCATTTGAAAGAGGACTTATTGCTCTATCAGATTGTGTTTTTCATTGCATTATTAGATTTAATTACCGACTCCAGATTTCATGTGTTATTAGATAGTGATAAGGAATGAGAGGATGCGATGCCAAAACGTTCTGGTAATAATAACGCAATTCATAAATGTTTAATTCAAAAGTCATAAATAAACTTCTTCTGTTTATAACTTTTGATCTAATCAATATTTTTTGACGCTCGAGGGCTAGTTTTATAGGTCTTTTGAGGACGAAAAAAAGTACTTTACTGTTTTCTCGTGGAAATGAACGGAAAAAGTTATAAGCGAAAAACGTGAATTTACTTAAAAATTATATTCAATTAACCACCCTGTAAACAATCTTCCCCCCATTTTTATGACTGGAAACTAATATGTTATTGTACATAATATTTAGCATCTATAGTGATAAATTCAGCTTGCCAAAACAAAAAGTCGTGAAATGGTCATTTCCCAGCTTATTTTCCTGGCCTTGTTCTATACGCCCTGTTGAATTTGACAAATCCAAAACAATCAACAAGGGAATTCGTTCAGGAGATGGGAGGTGATCACAAAACAGTAGTAAACAACATGCATTCATTGGGAAAAGTTCAAAGGCTCGGCGCTTGGGCCCCTCATGTTTTGAACGAAAACAATAAGAATCAACACTCTCCAATTACCGCTGGTTTGCTCTGTCGTCATCGAACAACATGTGGTCATGAGGAATGTTTTCTTAATCGTATTGTCACTGATGAAAAAGGTGTCTCTACATGAACTTAAACAGTGAAAAGAATGGTTAAACCTCAAAAAAACAAGCAACTGTGCGAACAATATCAGAATTTCAGCCTCAAAAGACAATGTTATGCGTCTGGTGGGATTAGAAAGGGTTTCTTTATTATGAACTCTTACCAAACAATTAAACCGTCAACGCGGAACTCAATGTCCAACAATTATGCTGACTCCATAACGCCAATATGACCAAAACGACCATTTGGAAGCTGAGGGAGAAAATTGAGCGCTGTATCAAAGAAATTCAGCCGCATTTATGCAAAATGGTGCAAAGCCTTGGAAGTCATTTACCCTATATGCTATTCCATACATGTGTGAATTTTGAAACACCCTTTATATTAGCAAAAAATGAGTGACACTAAATTTTTTTAGATTTTGATAAATTCTCGCTAACCCAATAATCGTGCGAAAAAAATGTATAATAAAAGATTTGTAATAAAAATTGTTGAATTTTCTTAGAAAAAGCAAATGGAAGAACCAGATATAGACCATTTTTTAATATATTCAACAGTTTCCTGTATAGTCCAAGAAATAAAAGTGAAAAATCATTGAGAAATCGTGAAAATTACTAGGCGTGATTTTATTGTTGGAAAGTCTTGGGAATGATAATACAAGAGGCGTCTCATCTCGTGGGTCATGAAAAAGTATAGCGTCATTGTTTTTTATCAACAAATATGTCAAAAATTCGTCATTTTTCGTTCTACGCGTTATTGTAAAAAAACTATTAATCTTAGCAAAAAATGTTCAACAGACGATTTGATCTAGAGAAACTCATCGTTAAAATGAGACTTTAATAAGTTAAAATTGCTTTATAAACAAAAAATTTATTGCAAAATTACATGAAAAAAGTGTTTTTTCTTGAATTGTTAATAACTTTTTAAATAATTAATAAAATCTTACCAAACTTTCCCAAAATGTGAGTTTATATATCCATAAGAGATGTGCAACAGATGGGCTTGATCGGTCATATAGTTTTTGCAAAATTCCATTTATTTATCCCATTTTTGCAAAATTATAAACATTGTTTTTGGGCTAATTTTTTTCAAAGGGACACCAAGTATCCTCTAGTTAAAAAAAAAATATTCTTTTTTTTCTTTAGTTGTATATAATTGTTAACAAATAAAAGGCACTTTTTTCCCTAATAAACAAAGAAAATAACTTCACAGTTTTTAACTTTTGAAAGAAGTTATATATACACCATTCGAAAGCTCGTAAAAAACTTACAAAAAATTTCTACGACCAATAGGTCCGGAGTTAGCAAGTATTTTAGTATTAATTCTACTCATCTTTGTGGAGTCCTTTTTTTTATTATGAATTTATTAATTATTTTTTTATGACTTTTGTATTTCAGCTCCAGATTACCCAAAAAGGCCGAAACGTGATCCAAGTCCTCCAAAGGAGGTCGACCCAGAAGAACAATTCCAAATCGTTAAGGAGCTTTTGCCAGATGCTGATCCGACGTACATCCGAATGCAATGTGAGAAATTTGCCAACGACGAGAAGGGCCTGAAGGAATTTATCAATCATGCCATGGAGGCGAAGGATTATCCCACTCTAAAAGAATATTTGAGGTAAGCACTTGAGTGGTTATTAAATTATAATTACGATTTATCTCTTATTTATATATTCCATTTAGAATAAGCATAGCTAAGATTAATATGTATATAATTTAAATTAATTTCAAGAGTTTCCTTTGACTGGGTGTTAAATCTGTAGGACATAAATGACTATTATTATTAACGGATTGTATAAGGAAACATTTCCTGTTTGTGTAATTTTCAGGAAGCAGCAGATATCTGCCCAGCAAAGGCAATATACCACAGAATTCAACATGGACAATTTTATACAGCTCTTCCCTGAACCCAAAAAGACATTTGAAGATCCCAAGAAGAACATCAAGTTGGACTCATACTCTTTCCACTACATTAGCATGTTCTTTAAAAATAGATATGATAAAGTCTCCGTAAAAACGATCCAACAAGTGCTGACCCAGTATAACTTTAAGGTATTAGTCTGCGATAAGGTTTTGACGTCGTATGTTAAGAAAAATATTACTATAAGAACCAGACGTAGGCATGTACCGTTACCAGAAAATTTGGAAAACATCCCGCTGTTGCAGGAAGTAAGTCGTTTAATTCAACAAATTCAGACTCTTTTAATTATACCGTACAATTTCTTAGCTAGCGTACCTGACACACAAAGAAGATATTATGGAGTATCTATTAGAAAAGCAGAAGAAGGATGAGCAGGAAAGGAGAGAAGCTAAGGAAAACAATATGATGGAAACTTGCAATTGTTGTTACGACGATGAAGTCATGCCGAAAGATACCTTCAGTTGTCCAAACGGTTGCAGGTTTTGCAAAGAATGTATTAAAAGGAGCTGCGAGGTGGCATTTGGCGACGGAAAAACAGACTTCCCGTGCTTGGCTGCTTGTCCGACAGAGTTCTCGTTACAAACATTGCAGGTGAGTATTTTTCAAACATTTAAACGTCTAGTATCGCCTCCAGTCGCGGCTCGCCAGGTGACGCAAGTGACGCACCGCTTCACCTAGAATTTCCGTTTGGTTGTGCAATTTAAAATTATTTTTATTTTATATAAATTTTATAATTTAGGTATAATTCTATATTGAAAATATATGGTGTTTGTTTGTTTAACACGCAGAAATAAACAGAATAGAAGCGCAGTAAACGCCTTCTAAAAAAACATTGCCTTCATTGAGCTTTGCGCTCATCAACCTCGTACCATACAACGTATAGTGACGCAAGTGACGCAGATTGAATTCAATTTGTATTTGTTTCTCTTCGTAGCGTTTTTTACGGCGGTTGTCATGGCAACGAGGCTAGTGATGGCCGTAGGAAATACTCCCATTTTGGAAAAATTCTGAAATGGGAATTTTTCCGGGAATATTCCCAATGTGTTAATAAATTCCCAGTTTGCGGGAATTTATGTTAGGTTAGGTTAGATTAAGTAAGGGGTTCTGAGGTAGGTCCCTTCTGGTTTTTTTTGTTTTCGTTTGTTTCCACTTGTTTTATTTTATTTTTGAGAAATCAGAATTTATTTTTTGCTATTAGACATAACATTTTTTTTTTAAATATTCTTGTTTAAAAACGTCTTTTAATAAGAAAATCCCTAAAAATTCACAATTTGGAGATATTCCCAGGAAGATTCACAGGGAATATTCCCTAAAAATAAATTTCCGGGAATTTTCCATATCTAAACGAGGCGGCCAACACTGGAGTAAGCTACGGCGTGAGGAAAAAATGAGTGACGCAGTACGTATTTTGTTGGAAATGCCATTTTGAAATGAAAATTGAGGACAAAAAGGATTTTTTAAATTGCGAGAGACCTGTGGCTTCTCTCTTTATGTGGAAAAAAAGGAGGAAGTCAAAAGACAAAGTGTACATTAGGAAATTTCGGAATGAATGGTATTCGGAGTATAAGCGGTTGTGTGGATGTGTTTATTTAACCGCAAAGCTTCTTTGAAATATACATATACGGTGTGCGTTAATGTTTGCAAGCCGAAATAATATTTCTATTTTTTATAAAATCTAAATGAAAATCCTTCTCACGAAAGTCAGTTTTTAAGTAATATTGTAAATGCAACTAAAAATTTCTAGATTCATTTAAATCCATTTGACCTTGAAAATTTAAAAATTTTCGCCTACCAATGAATAAAGATGCTTCACCTATTCGCAATGTCACGAGCCGCCACTGATCGCCTCGCTGTCGTCTATTGTGCTATCTTAGATTTCACTTCCCATCGGTTTACCAATTTTAAGTGAACCCAATTTTCCATATGTCTGCAGTATTGCCCAGAACATTTAAGGGGTAATGCCGTTTAAAGGAATAGGGTTGTTGACTATAAAAACAAACCATATACAAATTGTTGTTGATACGAAGATTTTATATAAAAGAACCTGCCTGTATAGTAAAATTTTAAATATATGACAAATTAGTGGTAAAAATCATTTATGAATTTTTGCTTTACCTAAAAACTAGTCTGACGTAAGGGGCATGTTCAGTATTCGTTAAAATAGTAGTTTTAATATAATTAAGTTTAACCTTAGTTTAGTTTGCATTTAAAATAACCCACTATTCCGTTCAATTTTTTATTCTTTTTTGTCTAATTTGCGCGATACCGACTTGCGACTCACACAGCTACATGAAAGTTCGAGTCGTCAGTTATTCACGCTTAATCGCTGGTCTTCACGGGTGCCGCTATTTGGTATACCATACTTTCGCTTTAATTAAATTGAAGTGTGCCGCAATCTTGTTTCATCCCGTTCCCACTCCGGACTGAAGACTGAGGGCCCTCTGCAACAGGGAAGACCCCGGAAAATCTGCGGTAAGTCGCAAGTCACTCAAAATTTACCTTAAAGATAGTTATGTGCCCAGTTCCATTTAGCTGGAGCTATCCAGAATTAATTAAAAATACAACAAATTATTCAGGGCAGTTGAACAAGAAGCTAGTAGTGATCCTATTGCATAATTTTGAAGAAGAAAATATGCCAAAATTGTCCATCAAACCCTGTTGCCCTGTTTCCTGTTTTTTAAACAAAAGTGACACTAGTGACAGCTGTCTATCAATTAAGAGTATTTGTGATAGTTATTATTAATTTCCTGATTAATATATTTCCTGAATTGTGTATACACACTAGTTAGTACAGGTAGAATTATATTATCTACCTTTTGAAATTTGGTCAACAACCCTATTCTTTAAGAAACAGACTAGGAAAGTTAATGAATTATTTTGTTGATCAATTTGTTAGTCTTGCCCCAACAGCTGATCCTTGATAAATAAAATAAACCCAAAATCTTATCAAATCAATTATGACGAGCGATGCTTCACTGTTGAAGGTTCGGATCGGATCCTCTCAAACAACGAAACGTGACAACTTTTTTAGTAAATTTTACATGCGCGGATCTCCCTGAGGTGGTCTCACAAAAAAAATTCAATGACTTAAATTCCTACATCGCCCAGTAAAAACATCGACGCCTTAAGTATGAATTGTTTTATTGGAATTTTACGATGAAATGATTTCAAGGGAAGTGCTTAAAATTGGAAAAAACTATTTTAATCACTAGATTGACTTAAGGAGGTTTATCGGGTATGTCTAAAGTCAAATGAGAGTTTCTGTAAATTCGCAAGTGACTAAAGTCGTAAGCCTTTAGATTTGGCAACATTACATTGACATGGCGTTCGCTCGTTCGCATTCGATCATTCTGTTTGTTTGGTCGCCTAAGCTTGAAATATACGTCATAATGTCACACCTGCAAATTTCAAATAATATGCTACGTCGAGAACCGTGGCATTGTCGCTATCACGCATTTGGAGGTTAAGTTAGTCAATGACAGCAGTTTGAAGGAGAATTATTATAAATTATGTATCTTACAAGTATTCCTATTCCTATTTATACAAGTTGCTGTGGAAACTGTTTGTCAATTGTTGCGCATTCTAAGTGGAATGACCAAAAAAATTTGCATTCTCATAAGACTTTGTACTAAATCGTGAAAAATTATTTTATTAATATCTCGTCTCTTAGGTATCCAAACTAGACAATTTTTTTTGAGGACTTTCTTCATATTAATAAGCTTATTTTAATTTTTTTATGAATATTTGTTTGTCAATTCCATAGACCTCCTTAAATAAATGTAACAAGGAAGTTATTATATTCTCCATAATTATTTATTTGACAGTTTTATAACTTTTTTATATTTTATTTAGTGTTGGGGTCGCATTGAGAAGAAAAATTAAAAAAATAATATTTATATGGGGACCAGACTACCTTTGACCTTCAGAAACAAATTTATTTCAGATTCCATCATAAAAATTTAATAAATCTTTAATTTTTTGTAATTTTTCATATATCATCACTGGACAGGCTATTATAACCTCATATCCATTTGTGAACTAGGCATGCATTGTTGTCAAATCTCATCCTCTTGATTCATAAACATGTTTTTTCATATCACTCATAAATAATAATGAAGACACATAAACACACCCTATAAATCACTAAACACTGAAACAAATAACTTTATAAAGGTTTCACTCTCACTTCACAAAACACTAAATATCACAATAATTTTGGCTTTAATACGCTATACAAATTATTATTCAATTCGAGTAGAAACTATTACTTCACAGAAAGTCGCAAAAGTGCATTCCATATTACAAAAAACCTCTCGTACACCAATGAACTGGAATGAAGCGGTGATGCCGGCCATTCATGTTTCACCAAATTAACATTGACCGTTGCGTCAACTCTTGCGGTTTTTCTTGTATGTTTTATTTTTCAAGCTCGAGTAATTGAATATTCTCAACGAAATACGTAACAACAAAATTTGCATTTATATCTTGTTTCCATAGAAGAAGTTTTGTGCGAGTAGGCAATGACATACTTTGAAGATTAAATTATATCTATTCTGATGCTGATGAGAATTAGTATGTTCGAAATCGTTGTGTGACTAGTAGTTTTGCTGACAAACGATATTAGATGTGATGGGTGTAATTCAATGCTGGATGGACATGTAGCCGGCAGAGTAGTTGTTTCCCACAATATCGTTAGTTTAAAAAATTATCATATCCAGCAGTTGTATATAATGATACTATAATTTCTTTGGTTTTAAAGGAATAATGTGGCCTATAACTCACTAGTGAGTTATAAGTTATAAGTCACTAGTGAATTATGAAACCCTTGGTTACAGACACAATTTAGGTCGACATTCGCATTCTTTTGTAGTAGATCATTTCGGGATGAAGTCACGACAAATCCGCCATGTTGTCGGGGGGGCATACAATAGAAATAACATATCTGCGACATTTATGTAAACATCGGTTTTTACATGTGAATTGTGTGAAGTGCCGGCATTTTGTGCAGTTGTGGGATGTTGTAAAAGAGCAGAGAGGGATAAAGTTGGATTTTTTAAGATTCCCAAAGCCTTGAAAAACCGAAGAGAATGACTAGACACCTTATCAAAAGAACGTCGACAAAGTTGGTCTTTAAAACAGGGTAATTTGATTGAAACCTTTTAAAATAACTCATGAATTTGTCAAAAACATTTTGTATCAGGCAAATATTATTAAAAGAAAGTGTTTTTATAATTTGATTTATATTTAAGAATGGCAAATATGGGTACACCAAATGTGTTTTGTTTCTTTCCACTGAGCTAAGGCTTCTCTACAAGAAATCTCTTCATTAGTTGGACGGGCTTCCAAAAAAAAAAAACAGAATTGCTGCTACATGGCTGCAAACTTCACTCAAACCTGCCATGCAAGTGTAATGACCACACGATACAGCTCCATCCGGTAATAAGATACATGTAGCGGCTTCCTATTCTTTGGGAATGTTTCACCTAATACCATAAAAAAACAAAGTCAATAAACTTTATTCTGTTCGTCTCAGGCCATTTTTTACTAGTTAGGTATAACTTTCAGTTTAAATGGATCAGTAACTTACCTTTCCAATAACAACAAAAGAATTTTCATTCATTTTCTTAGCCATGACACCTTGAACAAATCCAGCTTCATAATATTTGTAAGCCTGTAGAGACTTATAGGCCTTAAACTGTTGTCCAGTATAGAAACTGTGAGTTAGAATTAAATTATTCACCATGTCCATAATGGTGACACTTGTCAAAAAACTTAAATTTCTATTTAATTCAATTTCAGGGAGAGAATAAGGATCAACAATGTCTATAATCTCCGTTTTCGTGTCGTAACTGATTTCACGCCTCCTGGAAGAGATAAGTAATATTCACCTAAAGACATACTGTTATAATATCAACACAAACTCGAAACACACACCACGAAGTCGCAAATAACAATGTTAACCTATTCAGCAATTTATCTTTGTATGCCCCCCGGCAAGATGGCCGCTCTGTCAAAGTCACGTGACCCGAAATGATCTATATTTAAAAATACATTCATTTGGTTAAATTACTTTTTCTGACATTGACAACTTGAAATTTTAAGTTACTTTTATTTATTATTAAAACCAAATTCTATGAAAGTGTTGCATAAAATTTTGTATGGCACTCGTGTGTTATGTCATATACCTGTGTCACTTGGGAAAATTAGTTTCCCAGCATGATATATATACCGTAACGCACTAGTACCATAAGTAACTATTGTCTAGTGCAACATAGTCATGCTTTTATAGTACCTACAAATTAGTAGGTCATTTTCTGCTAGTAGAAACAAACTAATGCTTATCTGTGAATGGTCGCTGCTACTTGATACGTGGGCCTTCAGAGTGATCTGCAATTTCTCAGATATTACAAAAGCATGACCTGTTTTGGCACTAGGTGAAACGATTTTTTAACTGATATTAGCTTTGTTCCTAGTGCATTAGAAACAGTTTCTAACAGTCCGACGCAATCGCATTTGATTCGAAACAATGAATTTTGAACCTTATGTAAGCATTACATCCATATGTGCATGCGTCTGACTGTTAGGATTCTACTAGGAACAAAGCTAATAAATATTTCGCTAATATAAAATACAACTATACAACAACGGACATTTTTAGTTTTGTTAAACTACTAATTTTCTCTATTTATTCCATCAGAGTGTTCTGCCACCAAAGATGTTTTCGAAATTGGCCCAGAAGAAAGCATTGGCAGAAATCAAGGCCGCTGGTATTGAAGAATTGGAAACCTGCCCTTTCTGCGACTTTGCCAGTATCCCCAATGAATTGGACAAAATTTTCCGGTGTCTCAATCCTGACTGCATGAAGGAGTCCTGTCGGAAATGCAAGGAGCCCAACCACCTTCCGCTTAAGTGCGAGGAGGTGGAGAAAGATGAAGACATTAAGGCGAGGATCTACATAGAGAACAAAATGACCGAAGCTCTGTTAAGGTAAGTCTGAAAATTGTTATTTATAAACAAATTTTTGATATGCTCCACTTTTTTTATCTATACACTTCTTTAAATAATTAAAAAATTTAACTCAGGAATAAGAAATACAGTTCGGTCACGGCCACAATTACCGACCAAGATGTCCGTATCGTTCGTGGTTTAATTTTGTTGCTATTGAATGTTGTTTAATTTATGATGTGTAGCACTGATTCAGCAGATGAAGTGGCTGAATAAGAAAGAAAAGTAGAAACATATTCGGTGTCTCAAAATTTACACGATTTGATTTTTGTGCCATTTTAGTCCAGTAATTACATGCTGTAAATTACCTTTAGCTGGACAATTTTGCGGAAGTTTTGATATTCCGCAATTTTGCGTATTTTGTGCTTCTCATTTCACATTTTTCATCTGCCACCTCGTATCTTTGACACCGGCGCTGCCACATTGTAATAAATTGGTAAAAAAAGAGATTTTTAAGATATCTCGTTACTCGTTGCTTTTACAGCAAAAATAGTTATGTAACAAATTAAAGACCAGGAAATTTGCTACAAAATAGGTTCTAACCATTTTTTCATAAAACCGACACATTTTGGATAGGAGACTAGTAGTAGTAGTAATAGTAAAGGGGCGGCCTCAGCCTGGCAATTAGGCCACAAGTGGGCCCTTTTTGCCTACCCCGCCGTCTCATCACCTGACCACTCTCTGCCTCTGACCCTCCTCGAACCTACCCGACGCCCTAATGAACGCCAGGATTTTGGTCCATGGAAGGTCTCTCACCTCAACCCCTTGCAGCTCTTCAGCACCAAAGACTTTGTCTTATTCTCCCAAAGGCTGCGCACTGTCCCAGAAGGTGGACAGGGGTGTCCTCCCCTTCGCCACATTTCGGGCATAGAGGGTCCTCCTCAATTCCTATTAGGTTTAAATGCCTCCTAAGTCTGCAGTGGCCTGTCAGAACCCCACCATTTGGTTTAGGGCTCTTCGACTGAGGCTCAGCAGCCATCTTGTCTTGGATTTGCTAGGTCTATGTATATAACTATGGGCCTGCCTGCATCCTCTATTTCTCCTCCAATCCAGACCTAAAGTTTGATAGGCCCACTTATTGAGGGCCCCATTAATGCTGCCTCGTGTGATACCTAAGATTGGTTCAGGTCCCTGTCCAGGTCCCCTGGATCCAAGACGAGCTAATTGATCCACCCTCTCGTTACCAGGGATGCCCCTATGGCCTGGGACCCAAACCAACTCTACTTTTCGTCTGGCCAATGACTCTAGAGCGTCTCCACATTCTTGAACAAGAGCAGACCTAGTCCTCGGCGAGCTAACCACTCTGAGCGCGGCCTGACTGTCGGAGCAGATAAAAATCTTCTCTGCACAATTCCTTACCTCCTCCTTGCTTGCTACCATCAAAATAGCAAAAACCTCAGCCTGGAAGACTGTAGCATACATACCCAGTGAAAAGCTTTCATGGATGCCGCTGCCTTCCAGATAAATTCCTGCTCCTGAAAACTCGTCTTCTACCCGAGATCCATCAGTATAGCACACTAGGGATCCCGGGGAGAACATATCACCATCCTGCTTCCACTGCTCTCTCGAAGGGAAAGTGGTGACATACTTCCTTCCTAACCTAAGCCGGTCCTCTGCTTCCGTAACCCTCAAGGCGGATATTGGGATGTCCCTCTCTGCCCTGAGAGCCACGGCAGCATGGCCCTCAGTGCGTCCTTTAGCTCTCCAACCGCCGGCGTCCCTTATCCTAAGGTTTGTCGCCATCGCCTCCCTCATAATCCATGTAGGAAGGGGCGGCAGCCCCAGAAGGACCTCTAACGCGGCAGTTGGAGTCGTCCTCATTGCCCCTGTAATACCTAAGCAGGCAAGTCTCTGGATTCTCACCAACTTCCTGGCTACCGTCACCCGGTCCACACACGGCCACCAGACCAAGGCCCCATACTGTAGCCTCGGCCTGACCACCGCCGTGTACACCCAGTGAAGCACCCTTGGATTGAGTCCCCAGTTTTTGCCAACTACCTTCCTTAACTGCAAGAGGGTTGCCACTGATTTCCGGGTAATCCTCTCAACCTGTGGCCCCCACGACAGTTTACTGTCCAAGATTACCCCCAAGTATTTGACTTCCCTGACCAAAGTCAGGGGCCTCCCATACATGGTTGGAGCCCTGAAATCACCTATCTTCCTTCTCCTTGTAAATAGGATCATCTGTCTTCTTTGAGTTGACTGAGAGCCCCATCTCCTCGCACCACCTCTCTATGATCCTACCACGTCCAAAAACCGGCCCGCGACTAGAACCACGCCATCATCGGCGTAAGCCTGGGCATCACTATATCACTCCGAGGTTAGGCGTTTAAGGAGACCGTCCATTACTAGACACCATAGAAGCGGGGAGAGGCAGATAGGAGACTAAGAAAGGTCACCATTTAATGTGCAGTGAAAATTAATACCCACACCACGATGAAGTAGACTATATGGCACATTTCTTTTTCTGTGGTCTCCAGTAGGCCTAATTCACACATTAATTGATAAATGAAAATTACAAAGGCAACGAAGTCTCAGAGTGGGGTAAATTCTTCTGGCGCAGTAGCTTCTTCTCTACTTTCTGTATCGATTTCATTTCACAGTGGTTCTAAGATCGTATGTGTCTTCATCGTCATCACTATCTTCCAATGCTTGAGGCATGTTATCACATCTATTGTCATAGTTTGAGCAAATTATAGAAAAGTTGAGCCGTACATCCACATGCTCTCCGACATCCTTTACAAGAAATTAGTTTAAGAACTTCTGGAGCAGGTGCTTGGAGTGTAGTCAGAGGGACAAGACCATTTTTGCCTGACTTCCATCCCCATTGATCTGCAGGTTTTTCGTTACCAATCCATTGCTGTACCTGATGATACATTCGAAACGAATGTTGTCTTGCTGCTGCTTCTGTAGGAGGCAATGATGTTGATTTTATGAAGCATTGGTGTCTATAAGTGTTCAGATTCCTTTTTATTGTAACGGTAAAGTCTGAGAAGAAAGTATTCTTCAGCTTTAGCTACACTTTCTTTGTCAGCATCTTTTTCTTTAAATACTTTTATAACTTTGTGAAGATTAGGGTTTTCTTGCAACACATTAAGTCAATGGTCAACTGTTGCAGCCAAGCGGAGGGTTTAACACATTAAATGCGTATTGTTTTACACTTTACGTACAGCTTTGTAATTCTCGTACGTGAAAATGGTTAGTTAGGATAGAGACCCATTTTGTAGAGAAAATGATGCAGTTTAATTTATTACAAAATCATTTTTGTTGTAAAATCAACCAGAATCAAGGGGTACTTCCAATATATTTTTTTGATTTGAGAAAATATTCAAATCTCAAAATGGCCGAAAAAATTAGCTTTTATTTTTTTTCACGAAAACGGTTAAACTTAGAAATTTGAATTTTGGTACACGTTAACAACTGGTTGAATGGTATTTTTTGGTAGTCTTTTTTTTCTGGTTTATGTCTGAATGAAAGAAATTAGCACCCCTTGGTTTTATTTCTTTCACAACTTTTTTCTACATTAGCCAATTCCAACCAGAAAAATAGCTTTTCATACTACATTTCATTTAAAAACTTTTTTTACCATCTCCATTTTTTCGTATACTTAATGGTTTACAAGCAAAAAAAAATTATTTTTCGTTGACGATTAGGTACACATAATTAGTATAACAGTTACCCAAAACGATCGTCATTTTTGACATGCTTTTTGCAAAAATTCTTTTTTATCCATAGGAGAAGCTAAGCAAATATGAACTAAAAATTTAATAAAAAAAAATAAAAGCTAATTTTTTCGGCCATTTTGAGATTTGAATATTTTCTCAGGGGGGGGGCTCAAATTGAAAAAATGTATTGGAAGTACCCTCCTAAAATTACTTTCTAAACACCTTCTTAAAATATTTCCACATCATTAAGAAACACCCTGTATACAAAAATTAGTTTCAGGTCACTTTTTTCTTTGAATAGCGGCGCCAGTGGCAAAATAAAAAATCGAAAAAACATAATCACCAAATATCAAAACTTCCGCAAATTTTTCCCGGTAAATTCACGTAGTTAATGGACTAATTGTGCAGTACAGCGTTGACGTCAAAAAAAAACAGCATGACAGCTGACAGTTCAAGGTTTGTAAACATGGAGCGCTGCGCAAAAGGACAACGCATTTTCATTGTTGAGCATTATTTTTAAAATAATGGATATTTTGCAATTTTCGTACAAAATATGGTCGGAATAGTAGACCAAGCAGTATCTGTTTTGGTTTGGGTGAATCATATATCCATGGAGATTTTTGGCTTTTTGGCTTTCAAATATGAAAATTTTTCTATGCGCATAAAAAAAAATTGGACTTAACTTTTGACGGCACAATATGTTAAAAAAATTGAAAAAATGTCATATTTCTCTTCCTATTTAATTATGTATCTTTTTAAGAGTTGATTTTAGGCGAAAATGGAAGAGGAAAAAAATGTTTGTAATTAAATTTTTTACAATACATAACTGGTTACAAATCGAATGAATCATGATTATTATGGTAAAAATCGAAAAAATCACAAAAATGGGGTTAAAAACGATACTTTTTAGGGAATTTTTTGGTGTATTTAAATTGGGTGTATGATCTTCATACTTGTCTCAAGAAAACTTCATGTTATGTAGAATCATCACACCAAATTTTATCAAAATCGGTTTGATAGATTTTGCATAATAATTTTGCAATCCAGATTAAAAAAAAATTGCAAATTTTCAAAATTTTGCACAGCAAAAACCAAGGCCCTTAGATACTTGAAAATTTAATCACATATAGGGCTCTCAGGCTTTCAAACTTTTTTTGAAAAATTCGAATCCGTCAATTAGGAGAGTTCTGGCGCTTGTTTAAACATTGGTCGAATTTTTGTACTTATAAACAATTAGAACTTTGTGAATATTCAATCAAATCAAATTTTTTAAAGCAGGTTTTAAAAGTTCTTGGAAAGACGCTTCTTTAAAAAAAAACAGATCGATTGATCAATTAGTTACGTAGTTATAGACGATTCAATTTCGAGCAGGCCGAAGCGGCCGCGCTCTCTGCTTCCCCCACCACCACCACCCGTACGATTTTATTGAATTTCTCGCTTGCATAAATAACTTTAAACACGTTTTAAAGTAGGTTGCCAATGAAGAAAAGTATTGTAATCTTAGACCTGGTAAGTACTCGGAATACCAAAGGTATTTTTCGAAAAATTAGCCCGGATGTCCCAGTACATTTAGTGTAAATGACGGCTATAACTACGTAACTAATTGATCAATCGATCTGTTTTTTTTTAAAGAAGCGTCTTTCCAAGAACTTTTAAAACCTGCTTTAAAAAATTTGATTTGATTGAATATTCACAAAGTTCTAATTGTTTATAAGTACAAAAATTCGACCAATGTTTAAACAAGCGCCAGAGCTCTCCTAATTGACGGATTCGAATTTTTCAAAAAAAGTTTGAAAGCTTGAGAGCCCTTCTATATGTGATTAAATTTTCAAGTATCTAAGGGCCTTGGTTTTTGCTGTGCAAAATTTTGAAAATTTGCAATTTTTTTTTCAAAATCTGGATTGCAAAATTATTATGCAAAATCTATCGAACCGATTTTGATGAAATTTGGTGTGATGATTCTACATAACATGAAGTTTTCTTGAGCCAAGTATAAAGGTCCTACACCCAATTTAAATACACCAAAAAAATTCCCTAAAAAGTATTGTTTTTTAACCCCATTTTTGTGATTTTTTCGATTTTTACCATAATAATCATGATTCATTCGATTTGTAACCAGTCATGTATTGTAAAAAATTTAATTACAAACATTTTTTTCCTCTTCCATTTTCGCCTAAAATCAACTCTTGAAAAGATACATAATTAAATAGGAAGAAAAATATGACATTTTTCGAATTTTTTAACATATTGTGCCGCCAAAAGTTAAGCCCACGTTTATTTTTATGCCCATAGAAAAATTTTCATTTCTAGTGATATTTGAAAGCCAAAAAGCCAAAAATCTCCGTGGATATACGATTCACCCAAATATGGCTTTTTGAAACAGATACCGTCTGGACTGATAGTGATTTAACTTCATCTATTGCGAAGAGATTAAGTGAAAAACATATTATCTTTCAATTATTTAATTTTATTTAAAAATTACAGTAAATGTTCAAATTGTATATTGCCTTCCCTGATGCAGGCTCTGCACCTTCCTATGAATGCCCTTTTTTGTTAAATAAGAACTACTATTGCTAGTTAAAAATTCTGATAAGCATGTGATAAGAACACAATTCAAAAATATTACGCAAAATAACTGAAAGATAATACGTTCTCTTGTGGCCGTAATGATCAATAAAGTATTCTATGGTGGAAATTTCGAAAAAAAAACAAGTAACTGAAAAACGAAGGCACTTTGTACTAAGATAAAAGTCGATTTTCTGAACAACCCTAGGGTTCCCCATCACCAGTTAAAAGGTTATCCATTATTTACCGGACACCCTGTATATTAAGCGTATTTAAACCGATTATTATTAATAAAGCGGAAAAGGGGAAAGCGTGCAGTCCCAGTGACAATTTTTGCGGATATCTCTTATCCAATGCCAAGAATCGGCCTTGTCCATATCACCAAAAAAAAAGAGCGCAAGAAATAAAATATTTTTGAGACAAAATAAAAATCGTATTTAAGTAAGTTGTTGATGGGCAACATAATTTACACTTTTATTTTACATTGATTTAATTTTAAATAGGAACAATTACAAAACAACTTGTTTTAATTTTTCTATCAAACTTGGTAAGAGGGTATTAAATAAAATACTTTTTATTAAAAACTTGAAATTATTTGAAAAAATAATTCAAACGTGTCAAATTAGTATTTTTATTTATTTTTTATTTTGTACATTATAAAGCAGCAAAAATTATTATTTTAAAACATAAATAAATAAATATTTTATATAGTAGTTATATTTTAGAGTATCTGTATTTTTTTTAAATTAGTTGTGGGATGTTTTCTAATTATTATTTTAATTACTATATCTGGCTATTCCTATCCTGTAATTGAGATGAACATCTTGGCATTATTACCAGTACCTCTCCATAAAAATTAGTTGCCACAATTGCTATAAGCTTCGCTCGAAAAAATTCCCTATACCAATTGCAACAACCGAGTCACTAATGCGCATGGTTACGAATATATATGGTTTGAGTAGCCTGATTAACTATTCAAGCGAATTAATCTGTCTGGAGCAATTTGAGTCCTATAAATTTTTAGCGAATAAACTCGTCTGGAGCAGTGAAAGGGTTAAACAAGTAATTATTGTTTTAGAAAATGTTGGAAATGCAGCACCAGCTTCTTCAAGGAGGAAGGGTGCAACAAGATGACATGCTCGTGTGGGGCAAGCATGTGCTACATCTGCCAACAGCCCGTGAAGGATTACTCCCATTTCAATGGGATTGGCGGCGACAAATACCAACTGTAAGCTGTTGCATGTCGTTTAAAGTTTGTATATGACAACATTTCGTTTATAGGTGCCCGTTGTACAGCGACACTAACATGGTGAACCAGCAGAACGTTGCGGGCGCGGCGGCGGCCGCCAAGGCCGAAATCGATCCGTCAAAACTGAAAGTGGACCCGACTGTGGGCATAACAGACCATTACAAGGACAGGGCCAAGAAGCTGCCCCGAGAGCCCCACATGGAAGTACTCCACCAAGTAAGACGACATGCTAATCAACTCGTGAGTTTAATTTGTTTGTAAATTTTTTCATAGAAAAAATTGTACTTAACTGATGACAAAATACATAAAACTTTAATGATGGTTGGTCCACTTTGCGATATCTAGTGTTGTCGATTATCAAATATACATAGCCTTCATAAATGTTTGCAAGCCACGTGAGCGCTGAGCTTAAGCAACCCAACATTGCACGATTGGTACTGATAACGAAAAATCTCTAAATCTTGTCACCAATATCGATGAATCGTTTACTGTGAACAATGACAAACTGTTACGTCTACGCTCGAGATAATGCGATCGTTGATTGGTTGAATAGAATCTCGTAAAAAATTACACCAACCACAACCGGTGAAACGGAACGTTGTATTTAACTGTAACCTTGATATTATTTTAATCATTTTTAATTTTACCGAAATTTAATGGCCAACATAAAGGAAATAAAATTACTGGTCGCGTGGCTTGTAATCATTTATGAAGGCTCTGTATTTTCGGAAAAGCTTTATTTTCGAGACGTAGATGGTCAAAATCGATTTGGAATGTAGTCTGTAATTTATTTATAATTCTGTGGATTGCTTGAACTCTTTAGGAAGAAGGGAATTCATAAAATCCTTAATATTAATTTTACAATGAGCAATAAATATTTTTTCTTCAAAATTTCATCCAAATTACATTGATAGGGTACAGAACGTAACTTGGATCTTACGTGAGTTAATAGCCAATTTAAATTGGTAAATAAGTACATATTTACTATTTGCAATGGATCACACTATATGCTGGGTGTTAAAAAAATGTCGACAAACTTTAAACCAAACATGAGTCCATAGATCGATAGTTTTCAATATACAAGGTGTTTTTAAACGAAGTAGCAAAAATAGTACCAGTGAATGTAGAGCCAAAAATAAGAGGATTGAAGTAAAAATACCTTATATGAAAGTTGCACCCCTGAGGCGATATACCCTCTTCAAGGAGAGATTGAAATTCACATTTTAATTTTTTTCTTTAACATGAGGAATGCTAGAGACACGAAACTTGGTATGAGCATCCTACTAATGAAGAGACAACTTGTCAATATTTGTTCGATCATTGGCGTATTTTATAAAGGAGTGAAACAGTCAACCCCATTGCAATATTTTATTAGAAATTGTTTATACGAAGTAAATTATTTATTTAAAAATATTTATTGGGAAGACTGATTTATTGCGCGACTTTTTTACATCTTGTAATTTTTCGATAAAACCGATAATTTTCTAGTAAAACAATTAGATGCGATTCACTAGAGGAGTAATTGCGAAAATTTTTAAAAATAAAGCAGGCGGATGTCAACAAATAAATTGTTATTTATCATATTAATAAATTGACACTTTCTGTCAATCAATAATTAGTACCAATTGATTAATTTATTATCAGAATAATTATGGCAAATAATATTTATACCAATGACGAATATGTCGACATGCTCCAAGTGTCTTCGAATCCAGAAAAAATACTAACGCTGCAGTAAGATTATACCACCAAATATATCCAAACCGACCGATTCCTCATAGACAAACATTGGCCTCAGTAAAAAGAAGGCTTTGCGAAACTGGTAAAATTCAGCCCAATCGTGAGTGTGTCGGAAAAGGTGTAATGTCCGAGCTGTTGAAACTGAGGAAGCTATACTGGAACTTCAAGAACAAGACTGTGGTACAAGCACAAGACAGGTATCTAAGCAACTGCAAGTTTCACAGTCTCGTGTGGAATGTAGCTCATGAAAATATTTATACCCTTTTCTCCATCAACCCGTGCAAGAACTGAATGACTCTGATTTACCTAACCACGTGGATTTTTGTCAATGGTACATTAATTGTATTTCCAGGCATGACTTAAATTTCCTAATGAATATACTTTTCACCAATGAAGCAAATTTTCCTAGAGTAGGTGCAGTAAACCTTTATAATGTTCATTCATGGTCGGATGAAAATACTCGTGAAATATTTGTTTCAAGATGTCAACATAATTTCAGTTTAAACGTTTGCATGGAAATTGTAGGAAATACTCTAGTAGGTCCTTTTATTCTTCCACACAGGCTTGGAGCGGTCGAGTATCTTAGATTTTTGAACGAAGGATGTACCCCTCACTACACGTCAAGTGATGTGGTATATGCACGATGCACATAGTACACTTGCTGTTATAGAATGGTTAAATTTAGATTACCTGAATCGCTGGATTGGTCATGGTCGTGATGTCCCTGTTTGTTGGCCTGCACGTTCACCTGACCTAATGCCTATCGATTTCTTTTTGTGGGGACACATAAAAAGCATTGTTTATGCCACTCCTGTTGCCTCCTGAGAAGAACTACGCTTAAGAATATTTCAGGCAGCAGATGACCTTTTCAATAACCAATAACTGTTTGTGTGAGTGTGTTATAACTTCAACAGACGTATTAAGTTATGCTTGCAGCAAAATGGAAATTATTTTGAGAATATTCTTTAAATTTAATTTTGCATTTCTTGTTTTTCGTTTTTATTAAATTTTATTTCAAATAAATAACTTTACCTAATACATGTCCTGTAGTCATAAGTCATCAAACATTTTTTATTAATTAATAGCAAATTATTCTTATTATTATTAAATTACCAGCTTATTGACAGAAAGTGACAATTTATTAATATGATAAATAACAATTTATATGTTATGACTTCCGCCTACTTTATTTTTACAAATTTTTGCAATTACCCCTTTAGTGAATGATGACGCATCTAATTTTTTTACTAGAAAACTATCGGTTTTATCGAAAAATTACAAGAGGTAAAAAAGTTGCGCAATAAATCAGTCTTCCCAATAAATATTTTTAAATAAATATTTTACTTCATATAAACAATTTCTAATAAAATATTGCAATGGGGTTGACTGTTTCACTCTTTTCTAAAATACGCCAGTGATCGAACAAATATCGAAAAGTTGTCTCTTTATTAGTAGGATGCTTATACCAAGTTTCGTATCTCTAGCATTCCTCATGTTAAAGAAAAAAATTAAATGTGAATTTCAATCCCCTCCTTTAAGAGAGTATATCGCCTCAGGGGTGCACCTTTCATATAAGGTATTTTGACTTCAATCCTCTTATATTTGGCTCTACATTCACTGGTACCATTTTTGCTACTTCATTTAAAAACACCCTGTAGAGGTTATAAAAATATCTAGCATATTTTTATTGCAATACGCTGCATCTAAAAAAGTATTGATTTACGGACCCCTGTTCAACCTTTTTGGCCTAAAATCACTTAATAAATCGCCCCTTAAAAATTGTCTATCTACGTAATTTACACGCTATATTTTATATTCAAGAAAGGTTTCATGTAAATTAGTACGGTCATATTTTATTCCAATAAGTTGCTGATATCTCATATTTATTCTTTTTAATATAAAGAGTGTCTCTTAATTCACGCAAGAAGTAATTTTGATAGAAAACAGGTGTTTAGTTAAAAATTGTTAATTTTTTATTGATTCATAAAGCAGCATATCGTGTAAATGGGCTCCACCGTTTTGCTGGTATATCACATTCTTTTGTCGAAATTTTATATGATTGTTTAGCATAAATGCAGATGAATTTCGTTGATACAGCGCTACCAGGAAATGACTCGTGCAGTAAATGAATTGTTTCTTGGGGTGTATGGTATGTGGCACCGTCTTGTTGAAACCACATGTCGTCTACATCCATGTCTTGTAATTTAGTCACAAAAAACTGGATCACCATGTCGCAGTAGTGGCACCATTAACTGTTATTGCCTGGCCAGCCACATTTTTTAAAAAAATTGGTCCAATGATGCCTCCAGTCCAGAATCAGCACCAAACAGTAACACATTTTTGTTGCATTTGTTTTTCAACAATCACTCGTGGATTTTCTGAACCTCAAATGTGACAATTTTGTCAATTAACGAAGTCATCAAGATAATGATTTTGTTCTAAAAATCAGCATCCACTTGTTCCATAATCTATTCTACAAACTCTATTCACTCTGCATAGTCAGTAGGCTTCAGTTCTTGATTCAATTGAACTTTGTGAGCATGAAGCAGCAAATCTTTTGTGAAAATGAACTGTAAGGAGCTTCTCGAAATGTCCATTTTCTTGACCGGTGCCGAATTAATGTTCCTGGATTCTCAGCAACACTATCACGAACTGTTTCGATGTTGTGTGTTAAACGACTTGTTGAAAGGCGGACAAAGTGTTTAATTGATCCGGTCTCCTGAATTTTTCACAGTTGATGAAGTTAAATCACTATTCAGACGATATGCTGCCAAACCTCTGATGGCGCAAAATTCAAATCTTGCGAGAATTTTGGGACACCTGATATTCATATTCATGCAAAAAATCAATTTAGAGTTTTCACAGTTTTTATACATGAATGTGGCTGATTTTATAAAAGATCTAAATATATAATAATAGCAAAAGACTTCAATTTTATCCTTTAAATTCTTTTTTTAAAAAAGGGTCATCATCGCCATGGTCACCACCGACCCCGTCACCGTTTGGAACAGGTATTTTAACTTTGCAGATAACATAGTTTGTATTGCATGAAAATCCTAGCCCGAATTGTTTCAGTGTGCTTGAAAGTATCAAATAGATTTAGAAATTTGATTTTTAATACACTAAAATAGCAACCTTTTCGAATTGTATGCGATTGCTATAGAAATGGTGTTTGATAGTGCTGCTTTTAGCCGCTTGTGAAGTCTTTCATTTTATGCGAGTTTTGTTCAATCGATGCAAATTAATACAGCAATTCTAATACAGCGTGTTTTTAAAAGAAGGAGCACAAATGGTACCAGTGAATCTACAGCTAAAAAGGACACGTTTTGCAAAAAATTGCCTTAGTTAAATGTTCACCCCTTAGGAGATACAGCCTCTCAAAGTTTCCAAAAAAAATATTTGAAAACCAGAAAAGGTATAACAGTAAAATGTTAGAACTTTTTTGTTTGACAAATATTGGATATTCCAAAATACATGTCAGATAGCCTTGTTTATTTTAAAACTTTTACCTTTTTTGCTTTAAAACTAATCGGTTATTAACAAAAAAAAATTTAATTCATTATCATTCGCATTACAGCTAGCACGATTACATCTAAGAAATACATATTCAAGTAAGCGTCATGCTAATTTCTATCATTAGATTTAGATGTCTCTAGTGGTAGTGTACATTCTTCTTGCTGAGGCTCAGTTTATCTGACATTCAAAAAATACTTGCAGCACGTCAATATATTCATCATTAGTAAAATTGTTTGCCGTAATTCTTCCTGTTATCGTAAAAAAATCAAATTATTGAGTGGTAAGTACAAGGAAACACTCAAAAAGTCACAAAAGATATATCTATTAGCAACATAGCCACCTACTAAAATATTTCTTATTTGCAATGAGCAGTAATGGATAATGAACTTATTTTTTTTGTTAATAAATTGTTACGTTTAAAGCAAAAAAATTAAGAGGTAAAAGTTTTAAAATAAACCAGGGTATCTGACACGTATTTTTTAATAATCTATTTTTGTTAAACAATTAAAGTTGTAGCTAAAAATTATTTAGGGGATGTTTATTTCAATGGGCAGAAATTATCTAAAAATTGTTGCATTAGCAGAAAATTTGTGTAAAATTTAACTAATACCTTTTTCGGTTTTCAAATTACAGCCCCTATTACATTTTTTTGCATTTTTTTTGGAAATTTTGAGAGGCTGTGTCTCCTAAAGGGTGAACATTTTACTAAGGTCATTTAATGCAAAATGTGTTCTTTTTAGCTGTAGATTCACCAGTACCATTTGTGCTACTTCTTTAAAAACAACTTGTATGCGATAAAATTTTACATGAAATAAAAAATTTTTGACTACTGGTATAAATCTAGCCTAAAATTAAAAGAATGTTAGACTGCAGTTTATTTTTTATTGTTGTGAAGATTTCAACTAATGATGTTGCTTTGCTTGCTTTTAAATTTGATCTGCTTTATATTAGTATGCTATTTTTTATAAGTACAAGCGTTGCCTTTTATATTTTAGGAATAAAGAACAAATGCGCTTGAACCAATTTTAGAAACTTTTTCCATTTCGATTGAGGTATCTCCAAAAATGAATTTTGAACGCATCAACTGCTTCTTCAGGCATCAAAAAAGGTTAATCTCGTAATTTATTTTTGTTGTGTGGAAATAAAAAAGTCATTGAGGCCAAATCAGGACTGTAAGGCGGATGACTCATCAATTTAACATTTTCAGTTCTCAAAAAGTCTCTTGTTTGAGCCGATGTGTGAGTTCGCATTATCCTGGTGGAGAATGATGCATTTTCAGTATTTGGTTTTCCTTATTTTTTCGAAGACTTCTGGTAAACAAATGTTTCTGAACCATTCAGAATTGACTGTCTGACGTCGCACTAATGTTACCTTACAGCATATATTACGTGGAGGAAACAAGCTTATGGCGACAGTGTAGATGAGTGACAGAAAGAGAAAGAGATAGTTTAGGTATTATCTTGCTTTTTCAAGCAGGTACGGGATTGGCCCACTCTTCCACAACGATTAGAGAGAGAGAGCAAGTACCCAAACTACTATTCCTCTCCACAGCTTCTACACTTTTTAACATGTGATGCTGCCTCCATGTAGTATATGCTCTAAGAATGTTAATTTTTTTCAAAAAAAAACAGGTGACCATTTGCTTAGAAGTGCTCATTTTGAAAGACCCATACAGTCGACCGCTGTTTACTTTCGGGCTCATACGCATAGATCAATGATTCGTCACCTGTTACGATGTTATAAACGTGTTTTGACGCACTGCCATCATATTTCTTGAGCATTTCTTTCGACCAATCAACATGAGCATTTTTTGAACATTTGTCAAATTATGTGAAATCCAACCCGAGCAAATTTTTTTTGCGGCCTAATGTTCGTGCAATATTGAATATAATGCTGGTTCCATTAATGTCCAAATATACCTCAATCTCACAAGTCACATGATGATCTTCCAATATCAGTTCATGCACTGCATCAATGTTTTCTGGATCAATAACTAATTTTGGATGACCTTCATTTGTCAGTGATCAAACCACAACCACGATTGAATTCCGTAAGTATTTTCTTAGGTCAAACTTTACGGTAGGAACATTGATTGTCAGATGGCAGCACCAGGATCATGTATTCCTGAAATGTAATAGGCAACCCCTCTCATAAATTATTGTGTAATTTACTGCTATTAACTTACTGATTGCTTTAAAAGTATTACTTTAATATTTACTGCATTGTATTATTTTTCTCTTGTCTGCCTGGAGAATAACTAGTCGTTATAAGTATAATAAGAAATTGTTCACATACTGTTCATAAATAGATGATGGGTCAAACAACACCCGAGTCTTATTTAGGTTCTATTCAAACCCTACAGCAGTGTTGAAATCTATTCAGCAAGAAGTTATGTTCTTTTAACAAAGTCCAAGAGCTTCCTTGCCGAGACTTTTCTCAGTTCCAAAAAGGGTTTTCCCAGGAATGTCATTCTACTACCTGCAAATCCTGACCACTCTCCCATTATATACAGAGAAGTTTCAACTTCTAAGTCATATCTTCGGTAGACCTGACGGTCCTTATCTTGTGTAGATGTTTCCTAAAGTGACAGTGTCCCGTTATAACTTCTATCACTTTCTTTAGCAAATTTTATTCAAGCTCACCAACTCATTTGTTGTTTTCTATAAGAGATACTCCATAAGTTACTTCGCATGACTTTTTCTTGGACTTGAAGCCCAGTATTTCCTATGTTCAGTCTATTTGTTAGAGCCTCCCTGACCACACTGGGAGATGTGTCACAGAAGGGCTCTGGACCAAGTCTTGTTTCAGTTCCCTTCCTAACAAGGTCCTCCGGTTTCTTATTTCTGTTAACACCTTTGTGTCCTTGCACCCAACATAATCTAATTGTATTTGTAGTAGTCAGTTCAGTCAATATTTACAATACCTAGATTTAATGAGAGCCTATCTATCGCACACAACAGATGGTGTTTCGAGATTTGTAATTGCAAAAAAAACTACTACACAAGTTTTTTTTTCTAAAGTTGGCTGAATATTTTCTGAGCAGACTTGTCATAAATTTTTCCAAATGACACTAAAAAATCACGGCCGTCATCTTTCTGGTGATCATCTTGTCTGGCATATCTCTTAGTACCTTGTGACTTTTAGTTGAGTAGTGTTCTTTGCATGTTAATAATTTAGTGTAGTGTGTGTTCATCTAGTACGACACAGTAGGTTAACCTCAATATCACACTACTCGTTAACTTGTAATTTTATAATTTTTCTTTTTTAGAGAAGACAAGAACTTCTGATGAATTTATTCAACGCTCAGCACTGAGTGTACATCGATTTCAATTTTCATGTTTGGAAAACGTTTTTATATATAGTGACATTATTTATAGATTTCCTCGTGGATTCAAATTATTGTTCAAATTCATGCGAGATTTAATGTAGGATTTTATATTTTTACATTCTCAGAGGGATGAAAAGAAAAGGGACTCTCGGTTGATATTAAATACGTACATCAATTTTTTTAGTGTGGTAAAAATGACAAAATTTCATCTCACAAGATTTAGATGTCTTTTTATTTTCATTTTGTTGTTAATTTCTTTGAGTCGCGATTTTTTTGAATTTTGAAATATTTATGTAGAAAATAGTCAGTATGTACTTCATGTTTGTGTTAACACAACAGTAAAAAAAAGTTATTTTAATGCTGGCCAGTCGAGGACCAAAAAATATGTTCTTATTTTGGTAAACTTAATTTAAAATTGAATTAGTAATAAAACTACAGTAATGCACTATATCTATTTTTTATTACCTGATGATTAAGTTTAGTTTTTATCGCTGTAAAAAGTTATGTAATATTAGTTTATATTTATGCCATATTATAACTTCAATGAAAATAAGATTGTTAGTTAAAATATGAGGTGCCATGTATATGATAATATAAACGTATTGGCAAAATAGCATACATCTTTATTTTATAATTTTTTGATCGAGCGGACAGATCCGGTATTTAAATCAATTAAAATATTTTTTGCAATATAGGTTCAGGAAATTACAATATACAGGGTGTTTGGTAAGTCGATGCATTCCTTTCAGAAGGTTGTAGTACAAGTGATTTGTGATATATTTCCTTAATATACCATATTCCGAAAACGCTTAGTTTCCGATCTACAGGGTGTTAAAGTTTTAATAAAAAAATGCAAATTTAAAAATATTGCGGAAACCGCTCAGAATATTTTAATACACGGTTTACGATAAAAATATTGTTTTCAGTTTAACCAGTGGCGTGCGCACAAAGACATCTGGACATTTTTAAAGAAAAAAATGCTATTCTATTTTTTCTTAAGATAAAAATTATTCCTTGTTCAATTTGGAAAAGAAAAGGTATCTTGACTGTTTTTCTTATGACACACCGTTTTCGAGTAAATAAATCAAAATCGATTTATTGCATGGCATAATCCGGTTTTAATAATTTGAAAAATAGCAGAAATTATGCATTCAGTTTTTTTTGTATTAATTTTATTACAAAAAATTATTCTCACAGTTAACATCAGTCTAAAAAAAATTATCAGTATTTAGATTCACTATCTTAAACAGAAATTAGCAGATTGGCTGTGCACTCGTTTTTGTTATTGTTTGACAAAATTAATAATAGCTGTCACTTTAGTAATAACGTAATAATAAAATTAGTAGATACAAAAAAACTAAATGCATAATTTCTGCTATTTTTCAAATTATTGAAACCGGATTACGCCATGCAATAAATCAATTTTAATTTTTTGACTTGAAAACGGTACATCATAAGAAAAACAGACAAGATACCTTTTCTCTTTCAAATTGAACAAGGAATTCAAAAATAATTTTTATTATAATTAAAATATCCAGACATGCCTGTGCGCACACCACTGGTGAAACTGAAAACAAAATTTTTATCGTAAAAGTGTATTGTTGATACTTGTCAAAGCCTGTAAAATTTCATTAAAATATTCTGAGCGATTTCCGCAATATTTTTAAATTTGCATTTTTTTATTAAAACTTTAACACCCTGTAGATCGGAAACTAAGCATTTTCGGAATATGGTATATTAAGGAAATATATCACAAATTTCTTGTACTATAACCACCTGCAAGGAATGCATCGACTTACCAAACACCCCTGTATTGTTTTGATGTTTGAAGGAAATTTCAAAAAAGTCCTAAGAGTCATTTTTGTAATAATAATAATAATATTAACTTTAGCTTTTTGGTTATTTTACTTCAGCCTATTTCTGCTACTACGTCTAAACACCGTCGCCAGGAGACGAGCAATGCTCAAGCTGCAAATTTTTCTGAACCCCTACTTTGTCGTGGGGTAGGGATCTTTTACTTACCTACCATTGTTTAGACAAGAGACTAACGGTTTTACATCCCTTTCGAGAGATGGCATGTCTTCTTATACAAACCTTGCCTAAATTTGTATAGCTTCTGTGAATACACTGTCGTACAGGCCACTAGAACTTGGACGAACTTTGCGAACCTTTCCCAGAATGTCACCCATCCTAGTACTAACCGTATTCAGCATTGATTGACTTTTCATATCAAAAACATGAATACCAAATCGCTAGACGTAAAATAAACAATAAGCAAAAAGGCCAATTTAATTTTTTTTTAAACTTTTTATTTAACTTTTTTATGAATATGACTCTAAGCCCGAGACAAATAATTTAAAAAACTTTTCTCAAAAGGTAAATACTTTTGTCTCATTTCTTTCACATATTGTACTTAATATTGTTCTTTGATACCGATCTGTCCAATTTCTTGTTGTGTAGGTTTATTAAAAACAAAAGAATGTTTTTTTATGTAGTGGTACAGGCTCATATTTTTACGTTAGTTTTGAAATGGGCTCTGTCCCAAAAATGTATTCATTTAGTCTAAACTTGCAACATATTGCGAAGTAGAAAAAAAAAATCTGTCACTTTGGAGCCAATTTTGTCTTATTTTCTGTTTACATATTTAATGTTCTCATGTGGTAGAATTTAAGGTTTATAGTTAGGTGTTATTACCACATAACTGTGATAAATGAAAGTTATTTTTTTATATTAATAAGCCTTAATAAATACATACTGTTTATATTCGCCTATTTTATTATAGGACGGCACGTAAGACCCACTTTGGTTTAAATAACGAATAACTGTTTTTTCTTGTAATATTCGATTTTTTTTTTATTATTTCGATATAAGTGTACCTTATATTTAGAAAATGACAGCAGGCCATCGAATGATATTGAGACTTTCCAATTTCACCTGACGCAACTCGTACACCAGAATTAAAGTATAGGGTTTAGGTAAATCAACCAAGAACCAGTTTAAGACTCTTATTCGATATAAATGAATTATTTTGAAATATTCCATTAACCGTGTGGCATCACATGAAGGTTGCCTTTTATATTTTGGGAATGAACAATCCTGGTGCTGCCCTCTGACAACCAACATCCCATCGTAAAGTTCGACTTTTTGTCGATATGCTTATACAGAACGTTTTGGCGTACAGGCACTATTTCTGTTGTTTACAGTGACTTGAAAAATTAACCTCGGCCCAAAAATGGAATTAAGTCATGAACATTTCCTTGCAATTATTTTTTTACAACTTTCGACATGGATTATCTCAACAACACTGCATCAATGAACTTAATTCACTTTTGGCGGTGAAGTACCACTGTAGATCGGTGGTCTACGGAATTCAATTAGCTGTGGTTCGCTCACTGGCGATTTTCGTGAAGGTCGTACTAAATCGGTTGTTCCAGAAAACATTGATGCTGAACATGAACATTTGACTGCCAAAAAAATTTGTTTGCATTCGATCCCATATAATTTAACAAACAACACTCAAAAAAAGGTTCAAAGGTCAAAATAAATGTTCAAGAAATATGATCGCGGTGCTTTTAAACATGTCTATGACATCATACAGGTAATGAATCATGGATCTATGTATGGAAAGTAAACAACATGCAGTGGACTGTGTGGTTCTTTCAAGATGAGCCAATAAAAGTTATTCGCGTACAAAGCACTTCTAAGGAAAGGCCATCCCACATTTCAAAAACAAATTATGGTCAACTTTTTGCGGTGCCTAAAGTAGCGGTTGATGCATTCAAAATGCATGCTTTTGGAGGTACCTCAATTGGAATGGAAAAAGTGCTTCGAAAATTAGTTCAAGTGCATGCAAAAGTGTATTGATCTTCATGAAGAATATTTTGAAAAACAATAAAGCCATGCACAGTACCGGCCCTTTGAAAGTGGACGACTCTTATAAGCAAATCATCTATAATTGGCCTTTGTGAAGCTGACTTGAAAATGTGACGTTCAAATCGGCTGTCATATCTTTAATGTGTGTCTATCATACTAGTTCTAGTGAGCAAAACAAATCCAAAATAGGTAGCAAATTATTTATTTTTCCAATACTGAAATATATTATACATTCTAACGGCCATTCATTCGCCGTCACCGAAATCTAATAATGAAACACTGTGTCGTCAGAAAAACGGGATTCGTATAATTAATATTTTTGTCTATAACACTTTGCAATCTACGTGGCATTGATAAAATTAATGTTCTAGTGCAGGGGTTAGCAAGTAATTTTAGGTGGGGTCCGGATACTTTTGAAAATTTTTAACAAGGTCCAGAAAATAAAATTCATATTTTTTACAATTTTTTTATTTTAATTCGGACTCAAATTTAATCTGCTTACTAACCATTAAGAACACAAAACACTCACACAATTGTAAAATACTAGAAAAAATGATAAGATTGGTACTCAAAATTAAAAAAACATTTTTTGAATAATTTATTTATACTTCCAAAAAATTTTTGGCAGTCCAGTATTTTACATTCCGCGGTCCGGACCTGGACCGTGGTCCGCCAGTTGCTGACCCCTGTTCTAGTGTAATCCTCAGTGATGTTTTCCCATGTGTTCTCAATTGCCTCCCAAAGTTCTTCGGCTTTAGCTGGACGGAAGTTTCTGCTATAGATTTTTTTCACCATATATCCCATGGCGTTCTCGATAGGATTGAGATCAGGGTATTGTGAGGGCCAAGGTAAAACATCAATGTTGTTATCAATGAACCATTCTAGCGCAACTCTTTAGGTGTAAATTGAACAATTATCCTGCTGGAAAGTAAAATTCTGTGGATACAGCATAGTCACGGATGGCAGCATAACTTTTTCCATTATGCGCACATAGCTTAGTCCAGTCCAGTGACACACTCTTTCAACCTCCAACAAACACCAGACCCTTGGCTAGCTTATCCAAGCCCAAACGTTAATGGAAAATCTTTCGCTGCGCTGTGTGGGTTTCACATAAGGCTCCGAATACCTTGTATTCTTGGTCAGTAAACACGGACAGAACCATCGGAGCAAGACTGAAAACTTTTCTCGTCCGAAAATATAGTATTCTCCCAGAAGTTGTCTGGTCTTCCTACAAATTGTCTTGCAAACTCTAACCTCTGTTCTTTATGCTGGGGAGTCAAAGCAACTTTATTTCTGGTCACATTATTCTTCAGCTCCGAATCTTTCACCCACTTCCTTGCAGTTCGCACTGATCCAGGAAAATTCTTCTCAAAGGAAGCCGGTACTGCCGTGTTGAAAGGATTTCTTCTTAGGTTGTCAAGGAATAGATTATCTTCTTCGACGGTGCTTACTTTTTGACGACCACCTCTGTGAACATAAGGCACGTTACCCACCGCATTCCATTTTTCTTTGAGTTTAAATATGCTGTTCTTTTTTTTAATCGGAACTGCCAATTTTCAAAATTCATAAGGC